CTGACATTTTTGTGGGTGAAGTATTCCTTTAACTTTGAGCAATGCAGCTACACTCCAGCAGGTTTCCTTGAGACCATGTGCGTCTGCAGATCCCTGTTACATCTTGAGAAGAAGAAAGACATAAGAGGATATGATGTATGTCTTCACAGGAGCACAAAGAAAAGCAGATATACCCTCCTACAGAAAGAGCCTATAAATAGAAACTGCCAAATTCCAGCAGCATCCTAAAACAAAAGTACCGCGGTATTAAAGCCACCATCGTTAGCGCACTCACTCACTCACTCACACACACACACATTCACAAACTGCTATACTCCGAGGCCCCAGATGTGGAAGCAGCTGGGGCGAGTCTTTGTAGTGGAAAGAGTGCTGTCTTGTCACTGCATGAGGCAGCAGCTGATGGGAAACATGAAGCTTCAGACCTCAGCTTTGGCCCTGACAGGCTGAACCTGGGCCAGATCTGGCTCAGTGTCTGCTGATGCATAGACAACGAGGATCTGCTCGGTTGGATCACATAGACGGGACATGAAGGATCTCGTGTGCCCTTAGACTAAAGGGCTCGTTCAGTTTCTCCCAGACGTGCGTGGCATGTGAGAGCTGCTCTGACTTCTGTAGCAAGCGAGACAGGGGCTTGAACTGTACTGACGTTTCATAACAGTGAGTCATTAACACTGCCAGCCCTTCAAGAGCTGTGATCCAAAGCATGTACCTTTAATTACATTTTTGTTTTAAGTTCCATTCATGGGAAATGGGCTCTTTGCTTTCATGTAAGTAGCAGAAATGTTTGGTCTCAGAAATGAACTTCAGGAACAGACTCCTCTCGCATGTGGTTCGCTTCAAACACGCCAACGTTGTTGACACGTAAGAATCAAACCAGACTTGTTAACACCTGGTTCATTTAATCGGACGTCTTGAGAAGAGAAAAATATTATTCATCATATCATGAAGGCCATACGTGTATGCACAAATATTACATGAATGTGCGGACATGCTTTATTTTTAAAGCAGACATGCTAATGTACAGAAAGAACGTGAACTGGGCTGGACTGTCTCAAGGAGATTGGTCGAAATTGGTTGTCAGTGTTACTTTAAAACGTTCTTGGATCAGCCACGTGAAAATTTAACAGTAGGGCAAAACATAATCTAAATAATTCTTAGTCTGAAACTTAAATCAAAAGTATGTTTGTTGAGTAAATTGAGTCTGAGACCTGTATGTAATAACTGACCAAAGCGATATCGATCAGCGAGGCCTTCGTGAACTACCCGACATCCAGACCAGGATCTTATCAAGCCGACCCATAGAAACGGTTTTGTTTGACAAACTTTGCTTCACATAAACCTGTACCTTGTGATAACAACTGCCGAGCGTCACTTCCTCTGACAAAATCTAATTGTGTTGTGATTTAGGTGGGACTGCGCCGTGTCTGGCCACTTCTGCGTGACAGTGCCTCCTTAGTGGAGGTAACTGCTACCCTGGCCTGCCTTACACTGTTTACACTCAGTGATCCATTCTGAGACATGCAAGGCCCCCTCGCCCTGTTAGCATACACTGAGGATTTCATGATGTTTACTCTGTATATACAGGAGTCAGCTTAAATAAGACTTCCATGAATGCTGGATCCCCAGAAAACTGATGGACTAGATTAGACTTTGGCCCATGACGTGGAACTCTCTTGGCATTTTGGACCATTTTGACCCGAGCAAGGTTAATAAAACATAAATATTTATGTTACTATGGGGTTCTCTGCTCCGCTCAGAAGCCAAGCATACAGTCGGCGCTGAATATTGTGATACAACACAGATTTGTTGTAGCCATCAAAACGTTCTCTGAGAAACAGGCTGGTGTGTGTTTGTGTATATTTATATGTGATGTACGTCTGCTACAAGGTGCTCCATGGATGAAAAAACTATGGGATGAAACTAAATATTACATTTATAGTGTATTCTGATTTTTCCTCTGCCTTACAGTATATAATAGTAATGATTTTTGTTTGTTTGTTTTTTACCCATCGTAGGCTATTTATGTTTTGTGTTACTGTGTTTACTCAGCATATAATTTTTTACAATGGGATTACTTTAAGAACTGCAGATAATTTGTGACCTGAGTGTTGGTACTAATTAACATATACATGATACATGTATGTCGTAGAAAAGTTTAAAGAAATTAAATTTGATTCATAACTTCTCCTTATTGATCAGACTTTAGTTATTTGATACACTGTGAACGTTTGCACAACCCCTGTTCAATATTCCTGCACATGCTGCACAAAACTGCTAAGCTTAACAATTTTTATATCGTCTTTCTCAGATTTATTGTAAATTCTCTATTCTATATTTATGTTCCTGACTGTTTGCCTATATTTTTTTATTAATTATCTTTTTAATTATTTATTTTATTAATACTGTATGTTTATTACACCAAGGTGAGTTTAGTTTAGCTTAGTTTAGTTTAGTTGCACCTACATGCATACAAAATACAGGATGAAGAGATTAAAAGTTAAAACACTGTGCAGGAGAGGTTAGCAGACAAAAATGGCTTATGAAGTTTCCTACCCTTTTAAATAACAACAATCATACATAAAAAGAAAAAGGTAAAAGCAAAGATTGTATAATTGAACAAGAGCTCCAGACTTAGAAGTAATACAAAATTGTTAGAGATGTACAATTACAAAAACAAAACATTACAAGTCTTTTCAAATTAGAGTCCTCTTCTGATGTTTTTTCAATAACAATAATGTAGTGTAGTATATTATGATCTACTCTGAAGCTTTGGAACAGATGACCAGTTAGGGACCCAGGGTCCAGAAGTATATATGGTCAGGGTCAAGAAGGTATTTATGGCCCAGGTCAAGGTTTGGTGAAGTCCAACTAGAATATCTCTCTGTTGTCTGTTTTGCTTTGTCTCACATATCACAAAAACGTCAAAAAGTCTATATAAAGCAGGGTTTTTGGAGCTGTTTTTCAGAGCAGTTCACATTGGCTTCGAACCCTCTCCAAGCAATCTAGATGCTTGATAGATGCTGTACTTCTTGTAATAAACCTTTTCTTTATGCAAGCAAGACGGTGTCATCGGAGTCTCCTTCATCACCTTCACATCATCGCTATTTAATAAACAACAGTAGCTGAGTAAAAACCTACATGATAATAAACTGTTTTGTAATTCTGATTAGTTTCTTTAAAGGACCCACATTGTAAAAAGTCATATTTCCGTACCTTTTTTTATTATAAAGCAGATACAGGTGCCGTATGAATACTGTTGAAGTATCAAATGATCAATCCACAGAGAAACGCACACAGTGCTTCATTCAGAAACTTTTGCCTTTAAACAGGCTGTGAGAACTTCTGTAAAATTGTGATGTCACAACTGTAATAGATAATGGTAGGAACTGCTGCTACAGTGCCGTTACAATCATTCCCCGGCAGCAGTGATGGCTCAGAGGCATCGAGGGGTGCATTCTGAATCGCATACTTTTATGTGCTGTTGTATGCAGTATGGACACAACTGGGATAAACTACTTTCTCATAACATTGCACACTGAACTTTGACCTTCCTGTTTTTATATCCATTACCTTGGAGATAAAACAAACGCCACTCACCCAGTTTGCCAGAGACAGAGATTAACCTGCAGAATTCTTCTGTTGTTACTGTGCAATGTATGTAGTTCAACATTAAAGATATAACTGCTCAGATTGTTGATTCTAACAGATTAGATTTGCATCAGTTAAATTACATCTGCATTTCTCCTTCATTGTAATTTTTGTAGTTATGTCCTTTTGTTGTTTGTGATATTTATTATTTTGTTCACCTAAACAATCAATATTCCTATTATTAATATTTGACTGGTCATCAGTTAGGCTATTTGAACATGCTGGCACTGTCAGTTGTCAAGCTGTCATCTGTTTGCATCTCAGTCAATGTGATGTATCGTCCGCTGCACAGAGGATTGTGGGTCAGAATAGCCAGAGAAGCATGCTGGCTTGCAAACTGCAAAATCAGACCGTCCTGGTATTTTTGGCATACTGCATTTTACATACTATGCACTGGGACATTCTTAATCTTTTTCTGGCATATTATATAACAGTGGTTCCATACTCTGCTGCCAGAATCTTGACTCGGACTAGAAAACATGACCACATCACACGGATCCTACCTACACTGGTTACCTGTTGTCTTTAAAATTGATTTTAAGATTTGCTCTGAGTTATATAACAGATCTTTTATTGCACTATGTTCCCTCTCGCACCCTGAGATCCTTAGATTCATCTTTCCTTGTTGTTTCGAGGTCTAGATTAATTCACAAAGGGGATAAAGCCTTTGCAGTCAGAGCTCCATGACTTTGGAATAACCTGCCTGAGGAGATCAGGACTGCAAACTCTCATCTTTTAAATCACTTCTGAAAACCTACTTATTTAAAATTGGCTTTCGTTGATTTTAACTGCTTTATTAATTTGTGTTTTACTCTGTTTTGTGTATTCTGTTTATATTGCTTCTATCTTATTTTATTTGCTTTGTCTTTTATTCGGTGAAAGGTGCTGCATGAATGAAGTTTATTATAATTATGGTTGTAGGAGTGTTGGAATACACAGGAGAGTGCAGATGAGGAAGAGGCTTAAAGAGACAGGTGCTAAAACTCTGTGTTTCAGACAGGTAAATATAGGTATATCAGGACAGACAGTATGAGAAAAATAACGTGTTTTTTGACTATTAAAGCATGTAAATGTGTTCTAGCATCAAGTATGAACCTAAAAATGACTGTAATAGAGCCCACAGGCATCAGTCTTTGTATTATTGTGATCTACATATTGTGTTTTCAGATTTTGTTTTGTGTCCCTGTAACTTTAAAAGATTAGGAAGAATTAGGCCCACTTTCTTAGAGAGTTGCCCCACATGTCTGATCCAAATCTCAACTATGTTAAACTGCATTCCTCAGATACCAGACTATTGTGTGCACACAGCCTCTCAGTCATGTGCCCCACTGACACCAGCACGTGATCTCTTTCCTGCCTTACTGATCATCAGGGTGCTCCAGCAGAGACACAGCCCATTGAGGAGAACATTTACCACTAACACATAGCTAGGAGCAGTCTAACAGGACACCTCCTCTGTGGCTTGTTATCTCTTTCTGTTTCCAGATCAGCACACAATTCCGGCTGCTGATGTCACATGACTCGTGGGAGCTGCAGGAGGAAGCAGGTTGGGTTGAGACAGCAGCAGCAGCAGCGATGCAAACATCCACGAGCTGAGCGGGGCTGAAGGTTTTGGACAACAGAGACAAACACAGGCTGAGATGCAGGATCATCGGACACAGGACACACACAGTAAGTTGTGGCATGGACTGTAACTGTGTGTTCTCTACATGAGCCGTGAGCTACATCAAGGAAGTTAAAAGTTTAACAAGAGGAAGTAAGTTGAAGCTTTTGGTAAAACACGGGGTGTAGTTTACGGACCGGAACAGATTCATGATGATTAAAAAATATATTCAGTTGTTGAGCTTTGACATCAGCTGATGTGTGATGTGACCTACGTACAGGCTCATATGGGAAGTGTTGAGATCCTTTAATACCACACTGTAAGAATACTCTGCCTTAAAGTATGGTGACGTCAGGTAAACTGGGACATTTTTCTACAGACTACCCAAAGTGTTATTTTTATAATTCATTACGGATCTCTGCTATATTTCTATAAAGGACATATTTTACAAGTAAAAAAATTTAGCAACTTTGGACCCTCAAACACATCAAGAACCCCTGCCTCAGTCTGATGATGTGTTCAGGTAAAATGGGACAGTCGTGTTTGTTTTAACACTTTCCCCGCCAGAGTGTTATTTTAAGTTGCCAGCCACCTCCAGCATTTTTAAAATCATATTCACTAATCTTTCAAGACCCACAGATACATTTTTTCTATGACTATGTGAACAGTATGAAACTAAAGATGACCTTCTGTTTTTTAACACACAAAAAAAAAACATTTGAATTTGTGCATTTTTTATAAAAAAACATTTTAAACAAAAAGCTGAGGAAAAAAATGCATTTTTGTCCAAGAACAAAATCAATTTCACATTTACTTTTTTTGTTTTTCTCATTTCCTTATGTCAGTTTGAATTGTATAAATGAAAATAACAATAGTAATAATAATGAAGATAATATTCTCCTTGAGGTATAGCGAAACACGTTTCACGTTCAGTCATCGTTCAGTGTTCTGTGGTCGTATTGTCCATGTGTCATTGTCACCGTAATGGAGATTCTGTTTTGTCCCACCTAACTCGATTGCTTCTTCGTCCAAATCTGATACAGAATGTTGATCACAACAAGAATTGTTGGAGTCTGAGTCCATCAACTTCTCCACGGCTCGCGCAAACGTAAACTTTTCTGTGGGCATCGGCATTTTAGTGCAGTTGGACATGGCAGTGCTGTATCTCGTCAATGGCAGGGAAGCATTCTGACATAAATGGTGGAAAAGTGTTAAATGGCTGAATCTAGGGATGCACGATATTGGATTTTTTGCCAGTATCTGATATATATCAGCTTATTTGGCCGATAACCGATATCGATATATATCCACTTTTTTCCCCACCTAATTTCAGTGATCATCAAATCTCTTCTGTAGTGGAATTAACATGATATTATTCCTGCATACTCTCATCATGATGGCCCACCACTAGATGGAGACATGAAATACAATACTTTCAATGTATGTAATATTTATGTATTGTGCAAAATAAGAAAAAGCACGTTGGCCGATTCTGATATTATTACTGTGCATCCCTAGCTGAATCAATTTATGAATATTTTATGGACAAAAATATTAAATATGTCTGTAATATGACAGGGTGGCACACTGTAGTACAAGTCATGATTTTTATGGCACCTGGTCGGCTGAAAACATTCACCTCAGAAAAATGTCCCATTTTAGCTTCATGTTTTGTCCCACATTACCTGACTGCACCCTGTGTAAGTATGATCAGGAAAATGTACTTAAAGTATTAAAGTAAAAGTACTCAATGCAAAAAATGTGAGTTTTACACTGATACTAGATTATTATTACTCTCACATTAATGTAAAAGCAGGATTTTACTGTTGTAGGCTGAGTTGATTAGTAGAGCCATCTATTTTGTATCAGACGGCAACTAATGATTATTGTCATTATGAATTATTCTGCTGTTTATTTTCTCCACAATAGTTTGGTTTGTAAAAAAATCTTAAAATAGGGAGAAATGCTGTCACAATAATCCAGAGCCCAAAGTGATTAAAGGCATTAAAGACATTAAAGGCAAAGGAACAATAAGGGAGGACATGATATGGAAAAGATGAAAAGGATTGGCATCTGTGTAAAATCAGTTCATTGTCAACAAGAAGGCGATGACAACAACTGAGCCTCCAAGCCTCGAACAATGGATGGACATGATCAAGGAGATCTTTATCATGGAAAGATGACTTTCCCCCTGAGGTCTGGAGGAGCAGTATTCCTTTAGACAATGTAAAAAATGGATTGTCTTTATTTCAGAGGAAATGGACGCAGCTTCACCGTGAATGTCTGGACTATAAAAGAACATTTAACACGTGGACTTGTGAATACTTAACTTAATACTTTGCACTAAATGTTTTGTCTAAAAATTTAAATTTAAAAATACTTTAAATAAAGAGTTTACAAAAACAAAAATTTGATTTGCATGCAAAAAAAATCTTAATTCATTAGGTAACTAGTAACTAAGCTGTCAGGTAAATGCTGTGGATTAAAAAGTACAGTATGTCCCTCTGAAATGTTGTGGTGCAGGAGTAGAAGGTGCCATGCAAAGAAAAATACAAGTACTTAAAAATTGCTCCAAGTACAGTACTTGAATAAATGTACTTAGTTACATTCCAACACTGCATATAGTGACATGTGTGACTCTGCCTTTATATGTTTTTACAGGAAAATGACTTAAATTCTGAAAATAGTTGCCCTTTAATTCTCTGTTAGTTGACTAATTGTTTCAGCAGCATTTGTATTTAATGTTTGGCGCTTTAATCTGCAAGAAAACATGATATTTAAAAACTATTCATATGTTTTGCATGCAAAAAAATCTTTATTTGAGCGATAACTAGTAACTAAAGCTGTCGGATAAATGTTGTGGATTAAAAAGTACAGTAGAAAGTGCCATAAAAAGAAAAGTAGAATTAAACATATTTGTAAATGGAGCTTTCTGTGATACAAATGAAGTCAATACAAAGAGCTCTTAAAAGGAACTATAATGCACTCTGTGCTGAATTTAAAGGATTGTAGATTTCGTATAAAGGCATTAAGCCTTTGAGTTTTTTTTCTTTTTTGAGTAAGCCGATTTCAGAGGGCAGTAAGTTCACAGAGCTCAGTCACCCAGTTATCTTCAAATTCAGTCTGATCTCACTAATCTCCAAAGATGACCCAGAACGCTTATAAGTCGTTTTAAAAATCTTTTCGTGAGGAGAATAAGAGTATATCTCCTGAGGTGGACTCTTATATCTGCTCTGACTGATAGTGTCATGCAGTCCTGACAGTGTTGACCTAACCTAACTGACCTAACTTTTTAATCTGTGCTGTCAGCAGAGGTTGTCAGTGATAAAATATCAGCTCTTAGGTTCTGTTTATTTTAGGTCAAAAGAGCTGTAGAGTGTGAGAAAGAGTTTCCCATAACTAGGCCTGTGTTTCTCTCTAGCATAATGCACGTGGAGTGGTCGGAGTAAATAGGACACCCAAGTGAAGCGGGACAGGAGTGCGTCTGTGGTCCAGATGAAGTGTCTGCTGATAGGCAATGAGAGCGCTGAGGTCCTCTTCCACTGGACCGACCCAGAATTCCAGCAGAACGTCCAGGAGCAGTATGGGGCGTCTCAGGAGGAGGGCCAGGGGGTGAGGAGAGAACAGATACAGTGTGTGTGCTTTTTAACTGTCCTCCTGTAGCTGTTAGAATAACTGTTATTCTTTCCATTATTTGTATTAATGCTCAGCTCCCGGCCTTCGAGGACAGCATCAGCACTCTATTCGCCCCCATCATCATCTCCTGCAGCACCATGGTGGACAGGCTGGGTGACAGCTACACGTGCTTCACTACAGAAAACAACCACATCTACGTCCTGCACCAGGTAGTTCAAATATATAAGATGGTGTCACCCTGGCATAAATCCCCAGATTAGTTTCCCACCTATATGCAATACAAAATAAACTGAATGTGATTTTAATACTTCTTTTGACCTGGTTTTGAAATCCCGTCATGTGTAAAGCAGATTCCTGCATTCTTGAACTTTGCCTTGAATGCCGGCCTCTCTTACAGTGAAGCGTCATGTGAGTCTTGTTAAGGAATCAAACCGGGCTTTGTCCTTGTGCAGCGCGTGATGTGCTCAACATCTTTCGGGTCCATTCATCATCAGCACCTTTTTATGTCTTTGACATGCAAATTTTTTTTATCCCTAAGGGAAGAGTTTAATACAACCATCTTCACTTAGTTTTCATTCAGGGGGCAGTGCACGCTAACTGGGTCATTTTGTTTCCTCCTCAGTTTGACGAGTGTCTCTACATTGCTGTGAATGGAGACGGGGAGGAGGGAGAGGATGACCTGAGGAGGAAGATCTACGTGATGAAGAAGTTGATCGAGGTCATGTTTGGCATGGTCACCCTCAGCAGTAACCTCCTCAGGAAAGAGTAAGACAGTTTGTCCTGTTTCTTCTTGACACTGGGCAGATTTAAAGTCTTGTGAAATGGCGTCTGTACTGAGACACATTTCCCAGTGAAACAGGATATTTGAGCGGTGTACAGTTACAACATGGCACATTTTATTGGACTGTTAAAAAGTGGGCAGGCTAAGAGCTTAGCGCAACATGGAGCTACAGCGACTGCTGTCTCCAACTGTGGGCAAACCTTTGTGCTCAGAGATCCAAACACAGATCTGTTAGCAACCAGTTACCTGCTACAACCTATTAACAGTGAAGTGCAGTTTTATATGACCGGTGTGGCTAGTTTGTCACCTATGGTCTCCTTCAATTGGATGAATAATTGCCCCTGAGAGCAGGATGAGTCATCAAACATTTCAGACTGCTGTAACTGGATTTACAGACAGAGAAATACTCCGATTTTGATCTTAAAATACAGATTTTTTTTCTGCATTTATTTTGTATATAACAAGATAAATGATCAATAAACAAAGCGACACACAAATAAAACCACACACAAATAATTTCCCTCTATTTTTAACGCAACATCTGGTTGACATATGTGACTCTATGTGCTGTTTGTCACCAGACTGCGTCCTCAGGACACGGAGCAGAGAGCGAGGCTGTGGAAGCATCTCCAGAGTCTGCTGGAGACCTACAGTCACCTCCGAGAGAACGACCAGAGCTTCTTAGTGGAGGTGCAGTGCATTACTTCTTCATACAGCAGACCTTCTTATTAGGTTTGGTATAGATTTTATTCTGCAAATGTTTCCCTCACCAGATTACTGATGTACGGAGACAAGACAAAACTAAAAGACACAGCTTTATAGCAGAGTGCAGACTACAGAGTACAGATCCAAGCTGATATCTTTGTTCCCCGACAACAACACCAGACACCTTATAGAGCTCACAGTGTTATGATAATGCACAGATATTATTGTGTAGGTGTTGTGTGAAGATGTATCTGTGATATATTTAATTATTCATATTTGTAGTGTTAGTGTGTTTTGTTTTTTTTTTTTTTGTTTTTTTTTTTTGCTCAACAAGATATTTGTGTCTTTGTTTCCATCAGCCTTACAGTTTGGTGCATTTGTAAACAGCCATTTAAATTATTATATTTTTGAGTCACATAATTTATTAGTGCAGCCCTGACTATCGTTGGTGCTTTGCTTCATCAGGGTTAGGATGTAAAAACTCAAACCACTAGATGGCAGAAACAGCTTCAAGCTATTGTTTTATTTTATTACTATCTGTCGGCTCCCTACACTTTTCAAAATTTTCTTTTTAGTTGTTTTTTTGTTTGTTTGTTTTTTTAAATAAAATTTAAGTTGTTAACCTAAAAATGTAGACATGGTTTTAAATATATATATATATATATATATATATATTTTTTTTTTTTTTGGATTATTCTAATTAGAAAAACCCACTTTTAATTTAGTTTAGTTTTGGTTTTTAGTTTTATCTATTTAGAATATGTAAAAAAATAAATAAATAAAATTAAAAAAACCCAAGAATGATTAATAAAATGAACAGTAATCCTAAAGCAAACTCTTGATATACAAAGTCTCATAAACAACACAATTAAGTATTAAATATTTAAATATCCAAAAAAAGAGTCAGCAGTATACGCTTCTGTTGTCCTACCCGTTCTCTATAACAGCTTACTCAAAATGTAACACGTATACAACTAACAATTTTTTGTATAGTAATTATTGTTATTGTTATTAGTCGGATAGGTATTTATGCACAGTGCAGAAATCCACCCTCGGTCAATCAGGTTATAGCTTTAACAATTTGACAAATTACCTTCCTCATCCCTGTTCCTCTTTAAAGTTATTTTCTTGTACATCTATTTGAATTGATTTATATATTTTTTTTATTTTAATTATTTTTTTATTTATACTTATTTATACTTTATACGAGTGCTTTGTCTTGTCAAAGTAATTTTTAGGTGAATGAATCAAAAATAAAAAAGAAACTTGACATGCCAGCTATTCTTCAGTTCTCTCTCTCTTAGATACACACGTCATCACATACACTCTAACATTTGAAAAGCCAGCGTGTCGTCATTATCACCAACGTCCTTGTGTCGTCTCCTCCCTCTCTCAGGCGGTGGAGAGGCTGATCCACCCCACGCTGTGCGAGCAGTGCATCGAGTTCCTGGAGCGCCGCTTAGTGCAGCAGCTCAACAGCAGCGTGGAGCGAGCAGGAGAGGAGGTGCTGCACGCCTTCATCCTGGTTCACACTAAACTGCTGGCCTTCTACTCCAGGTACACACATGTCTGTAAAACCTCCGCATTCATCCCATAACTTCCACTAATTTTTATTCACAACCTTTTTTCAGATTTATTTATAAAGTATGCCGTCTCTGTGTTCCTGTGCTCATTATAGCCGCAGCGCGAGCACACTCTCCACCTCAGACCTGCTGGCCCTCATCATCATGGCACAGAATATGTATCCTAGCAACGTAGACCTGGATGAGCCGAATCCTGAGGTAGAGAAGCGCTGACAGCTGCTCACACAGCAACACTGTGACATGTTGTTCACCTTGTTTCTGATTGTTTATCGTCTGTCTCTGTGTGTTTGTCTGTGAAGGATGTTGAGAGTACGTCTGGCTCTGGTCCTGAAAGTTTTTACACGCCAGAGCCGTCCCCTACAGACCGGGACTCCAGCAGCTCAGGTTGGTGATGCAGTAGAGGCTGTGTATTTGTATTTTTTTCATTCTCTCGTGATGTTATAACAACAGCTGTTAATTTTTTTGTGTCAGCAGACAAGCCAGTGAGAGGAAGTACCCCTGTGTTTGAGTTTGTGGACCCAGACGTCCAGGTGAGAGTGTATACCTCTGTGTGTGACCCTCATCGTCCGTCCTGTGTCATAATATTCAACAGAAGTCACATTGTTTGGGTCGTTGACTGGATGAAATGATAATGTCTTCAGATGGCAGAGGACAGCCTGCAGACTCTCGAAGTTCCTCCCCCTGACCCTTCGAGCCCTCGCAGAGTCTTCTTAGAGGTCTCGCAGAAAGATGGGCTGTATCCCATGATGCCTCAAGCCATGTACTGTCTGCCACTGTGGCCCGGCATCACACTTGTGCTGCTTACTAAGGTTTGTGGACACCAACACACATCCATGTATGTAATCATTTAGCTTTCATATTTCCTCCCTCTTGGTCGTCACGTGCTATGGCTGTTTGGCCAGTAGGGGGCACACTTGTGACACATTTATTGAACCACAGTTTAATGCAGTGTTCTCTGTATCTACACACGTGTTTGCTTCCCTCTTAAAGCATTTTTTTTTTATCTCTGTTAGATTCCCACCAGTGCAGTGGCCATATCAGTGTATACGTTTTTGGAAGCCTTCGACAAGCTGGAGAAACGTTTAAGTGAAGGTCTAGAGGGTTCTGCAGCCACAAGAGGCCAGCCGACCATACACGACATCCGCAGCAAACTGGATAGATTCATCAAAGCCCTGGGGCAGAGTGAGATACAGGTATGAGGTTTTGTGTGTGTTGTAAACCAACAGTTTGTGCACCATTACACAACATGTCCAACAACTGTCTGCTTTGAAATTAAGCTTTCACAGCTCATCAAGATGCGCTCGCTAGATTGTTTGACTTTAAACATTCAACACGTTACACATAACATATACGAACCCTCCCAAGTTAGAATATATGGCATTATATAAAAAGAAATAATAGTTATTAAAAAAGTAATCATAATGATAATCGTAAAAAATACATAAATGAAAATAAATGAATAACAATAGTAGTAATATTAATACAGTAAAACAAACAAACAAACAAACAAAAAATAATCTAAGCACACAGTTAGGACGGGGTGCAGCACATTATCCTCAGATTTGTTTGCATCTTTAAAGGGCCAGTGTGTAATATTTGGCATGGTTTATTGTCAATCTGAATCTGAATCTGAATATTCTACCCATTAATATGTTTATACAAGTGTATGATCGCTGTGTCACCATTTTTTACAAATTCCAAAAACATTTCCCAAACATCAATAAACTCAGAAGCCCTATGTCTCACTATATAGCTGAGTTTTATGTGGGAACTAATTTCTTTCTACCGAACTACACCCGCCAACAGTATCACTGAGCAGAAGGAATATTATTATGGAATATGTACTTTTGATTTTGGAGTGAACTGTCCCTTCAAAATATAGCAACTAGTTTTCTATCAGCTGTAATACAAACTGAACTCTCAGCCTTTGTTTTTACAGTATCATTCACCAACAATGAAACAGTTCACAGTATAATACATATATATTTAGTGTCTGGACTGTGACTGTGGAAGATTTGTTTTACTGTTCCAAACTTAAATGATTCAGCTAAAGATCCAGTAAAAACACCTTACAGAAAAAGTAACCAAAGCCAAAGTGGTCAGTTCCTTGCATATTATAAAAATAAGTTTGAGCAATTGTATGAAAATATTCTCAGGTTTTGGACCTAGACAAGCACAGGGTGTCTGCAGATCCTAAAAAAAATCTTCTAATGTCTTAAATTTAATTTTCTTACTACATATAATAATATAATACTGTATTGTTTCTTAAATTGGGCCCAGTGTGTGTTCTGATTGTTACTGGTTATGAATGTTGAATTGTTGTTTCTGTAATCTGAAGCATTCTCTGGCACAATAACTTCTTTTGGGATAAATAAAGTTCAATTGAATTGAATAGAAATTAACTGAATTTGGTCTTAAAAGTCATTAAATAGTCTCAAATGTGTATTTGTGAGGTCTTAATTTCCACAAACATTAACATTAATTAACATCTAATTTCTTCGATACATATTTTTATTTCTTTTTGTCAAAATGAGTCGAGCTTTTTTGCATGAAAGTCCAGATTTCTGATGTTACAAATCTTTAAACCTGCCCCTGAATCTGATACTGTTCTTTTACTTTATACTTACACTTATCTGTTGGCAAAATGTAGATTAAGCTAACTCACTCTAATAACCATACAGAGATACTAACCTTTACACTTACCTGCATTGCTTTAATAGAAAAAAATGATTTGTCCAAAAATCAGTCTTAAATTTGGTTTAAAAATGATCTCAGAACGGTTTTAAAAGTATTAAATTTAAGTGTCTGATACTCGTAGACACTCCCAAGTAAAATCTACTTATCCGTCCTTCGTTTTCTATCCAGTCTGCGCAGTTACAAAACGTCTGGACGGAGTTTAAGAACCGAGCCTTCGCCAGAGGAGGACCCGGGTTCAACAGAGAGTACGTCTGCTGCAGCCCTCTGCTGGACAAAATGCATCATAGCAAAGCTGCTATACAATCCTTTGAATGATTATTAACTTCATGTTTTTGTTTTAGTCTGATCCTGTGGTGTAAGAATATGAAGACCCAGCTGTGTGGCATCTACCGACAGTGTTTTCTTGTTGAATCTGGACCAGCCGACATTCCTCGCTGTCTCTCCCCCGGTCTGCAGGAACGAGCCCAGACCATGGTGCAGTGAGTATCAGTCAGCCAGGACATGTTTTTGTCGTTAACTTTTAAAATCTGAATCAGTTTCATTTTTTAAAACTAGTTTTTAGTACACACAAACCTCCCAGACAGTCCATCCTTCATTGTTCACGTCTGTATCTTATTTCACTTCCTGTCTTATTTTTGTCACTGTCTCTCTAATCTACTCTTTTCCTCTCACCTTCTCCGTCTCCTAGAGAGAAACTAATGGACTGGAAAGACTTCCTGTTGGTGAAAAGCAAGAGGAATATCACCATGGTGTCATATCCTGTCTACAAAATAATCCTACTTCCTGTGACGCTGTGTTGTGTGTTAGATTGTTATACTTCTGAAAGTGCCTGCATATTTTAACACCATTCATATGCCAAGAAAACTTTCTGAAATATAACACACTGTTATCCTGAGTATTGATCTTGACCCAGTTCATTTCACTTACCTGGAGGATTTCCCAGGCCTCATTCATTTTATCTGCGTGGACCGATCCACGGGCCAGATGATTGCGCCATCGCTCAGCGTCACAGAGCGCAACACGTCTGAGCTGGGGAAGGGGCCGGTGGCTCAGTTCATCAAAAACAAGGTACAGCATAAAACAAGCGCACATCTTAAAACCAATTAATATGGCAGTAAACTGCTGAGCACAACGGAAACTGTTCATCTTAACAAGTACTTTAAGACAAACTTTAATTTGTTCTTGATTTCTGTTCAAAAAGCAGCAGTATTTAACTATTTGATTATTACATTAAATTGCAAATGTAATACTCCTGATGAGAATGGTTATCTCTCTCTTACATGTAGTGGGAGCCAGCAGTTGGTTAGCTTAGCTTAGCATAAAGACTGTGGCCCTATCTTACACACAGTGCAAAGTGGCGCACTGCACATAGCAACTGTTACTGCCAGTTGTCATTTTCATAGACACTGATGTTTTTTAAGTAATGCACTAAAGCCCAGCTGTGCGCCCGTGGGTGTGTAGGTCCTAAAATGAGGTGTGGTCAGGCTCATTGTTGGCTGACTGCTATTTAAAGGCAGCAGAAAGCGATTGCACCATTGACCAACAAAAACCTGCTCCAATGTCAATGAATAGCAGTGTGTAAGGTGAGGGTGCACCTGGCTTTTAAAGGGAATGGGAGATGACACTGATTGGTTGAATTCATGATACACCCAATGATTAATTATTGGACTAAATACAACCCCTCTCCCCCTTGCACCCTACTTGGCACCAAGATTCAGCCCCATTTAAAGGGCCAGTGTGTAATATTTGGCATGGTTTATTGTCAAATCTGAATCTGAATCTGAATATTCTACCCATTAATATGTTTATACAAGTGTATGATCGCTATCAAATAAAATTCGTTTGGTTTTCGTAGCCTTATAATTATGCTTTTATATATATATAGCAAGGGCCTTGCTTTAGAGAGGTCGCCATCTTGCGCCACCATGTATGTACGGCAGACCGAGCGGACAATCCAGCCAGCCAGAGAACGCGTTTCGCGTGTATAAATAAACCAACGAAGACAGCGGAAGGAAGGAAGGAAGAAGGAGGAGGAAACAGCAGAGAGTGTTAGTAGTTTGTAGATAGAGAGTAGTGAAAAGTTTTTTTAGTTATAAAGTTTGCGAATGGACCACACTTACCACGCAACAGGAGAGAATGAACCCGAACGTCATCTGCGAGGAAAAGAAGACGCAACTTCACTCCTTGTGATGCACTCTCTGCGGCGCTTTTCCTCCTGGTGATACATCTCCCCAACGATGGTAGCACCGAATCCCATTCTGTGCAGCAAAATGGGAGCGGAGGATTCAGCCTCTCTTCTTGCCCGCTCAGTATCCAAGTTCCTCATCTGTATGCTCCGGCTCAAACAGGTATGGCTCTGGATCTGTGTCCGCTACAAGAAACTCTTCAAAATCGCGTTCAAAGTCGTCCATTGCAGCTACTATAGTCCGGAGATATTGCTAGGCTAAATAAACAGCTGAGCTCTGTTTACAGGCTACGCTGTCAGTCAGTGTGCGGGCTGGAGATTGGTGGAGCAGAGAGGGGAGGGGGTGCCCGCTTGGTATTGTAAACAAGTATGTGTGTATGAAGTGTGTGTGTTACGCCAGAAGAGTCCGAGTTTGGGACGGAGTCTTTTACGTGCTACCCCCTGGAGTGTTACCGGAGTTTTTGGAGTGCTCAAATAAACTGGCCTTTTCCCCGAACGCTCCTCTGGTCTCCTGCTCGTGAGGGATTCATTACAATATCGTAACATGGTTTAGATTTCTAAATAAACATTCACCTCGTCGCTAGATAGACCTACTCCTGAAAAACTCATGTCTGCACAAGGCTTTTTGTCCCTACGAGGCCACCGTCATTTACCCGACGGGAGGGGTGAGTGAGTGAGCCCTGCAATCTAGAATTTGACCACTGATGTCACTGTTTTCAACCCATTTTACACACTGGCCCTTTAACAAGCAAAAGTGGAGCTGGACATGCCTTAAATGGACTTGTCCCATACACTAGACCAGTTGTTCCAAACTGGTGGGTCGTGGTCTAAAAGTGGGTCATAGGTCCTTTCTGAATGGACCGCAAGTAACTTGCAAATGTGTCAAGTACATATAAAAAAAAAAAACGCTTTTTATTTACAGTACAGTGAGTTTCCAGCACAGACGTTTTATTTTGAAATAGGGTTTCCTGATGTAGAGTGAGTGACAGGCACTTGACAGAGACAGCGGACTTGCTCAATGACATGGCCAAACACAAGTATGATGCTGAATGTATTACACTGTGTGGACCTTGAGCTGTTGACTAAGGAGAAATCTGGACCAGTTGGGAACCGCTGCTTTAGACCATGTGCTATAGATCACTTAAATATTGCTATGGAAATGCAGTCAATGGAAACTCCAGGAAGTTACTGCTCATGACCAAGAAATAGTCCGACACATGACCTCCGTAAAACTCTACTCTTCAGGTTTTGTACAAATTAAACAAATGACATATAACATTTTTATTAGTGAACTTTAGTGTTGTCATGATACAGGAATGTCTAACTTCATACAGTACCTTGAAAAATATCGATACTCTTTACCATTTTTTATTCCAAGGGTAGACTGACAGTGAGGGCATACAACTTAAAAATGTTATTGTTATTACTAATCCTTCCTGAAGGTGTGGAGCCACGTCAGCATCACACGACGCTATCTCCAGAAGGGTTACTCCACTGTCACGTTGCGTGATGGAGACTTCTACTTCTGCTACTTCCTCTGGTTTGAAAATGAAACAGTAAGTCACCGGCATGTTATGTTTTAGTACGTGGTAATAAACTACTAAACATTCATTACATCATATAATATGTATGTTTGATCAATCAGGGCTATAAGTTAGAAGCAGGAGACATACCCATCCTACCTGACGACTCTGCCCCCATTGGGATGCTTGCCTGGGACTACTACAGGTAAACAACAGTGCATGACAAAACCAGATGTGACTATTCCACATAAGTGCTGCTGGCTATAGGAAGTTCTATGTCTAGCAGGAAGCTGCTGCGGTACTACAGCAAGAACCACCAGGGTGAGGTGGTGAAGTGCTACGAGCTGCTGACGGTACACCTGGGGGTCATCCCCACCGAGATCATCCTCCAGCACTGCAGACAGCTGGCGAGCAAACTGTGGGAGCCTTCACGCAACCCTCTGCTGTAGACACACCCACACACTTACTGTAGCTGAGTCACAGTAGCCAAGGTATTTGTTTGTTGTTTTGCCAAGAACTGAGGAAAACAATCCCTTGCTCTCTGTAGATATGTTCTGCGTCTACTGCCTGTGTGTTCATGCTTCTGTCATTTTCATCGTGTTTAAGGTTATTTATTCTGCCATGAACAAGTTGTTTATTAGAGGCACTTAGGATTAGCACATTGGAACGCCACTGTGCACTTATGCACTCTTATGTGTCTTGTATGAATTGTAATGGGATTATTACGCCTTAATTTATGTAATATATTTTTGAATACTCATTTATGACCTGTTCCCTATTTATAGTAATACTGTATATGTTTTTTAAAATTTGCAGCTGATCAATTTTTAAAAAATGCAGATACTGTCCACTGTTGCCTTTACTACTGTTAGTGTCATACCTTGAAACATGAAATACTGTGTGTCTCCCTTTATATAGATTATTTTTTGGGAGAAAATAAATATCCATAGACGTACATTCACTTGTTTATTGAGTCATTGTAAAAGGAACTACTTGAACCACTGACCACTGCAATTTACAAAACCCACCCGACCACTGAGCGTGCTCCCATGTGTGATTACACAATTATCCATCCATATGACACACGATTACTACGCTCGTAACAGAAGTTCATTGAATTTAAACAAGATGTGTTCTTAGGTTAGTCTCAGCAATCCTGAGCGTGTCTAACCTTTAATTTGCTTGCTCGTCAGTCAGCCCCGGCGACTGTGAGCATTTTAAAGGTCAATCCACGCTGTGTGGGACTTCTCCAGCAGGGCACAGCTATGGAGGGCTCCACACTGGCTCACAGTGAGGAGGAGGAGTGCATGTAGAGTTCAGTACGTTATCATTAGCCTCTGCGCCGCTGACTCACAGAGCCCCTGTGAGGTCGGTCACAGCTCCTGCAGCCACCAGGTCCCTCAAGAAGAGTTTCTCAGCGCTGACGTCATGCACCACCTGGATAATGAGGGTAAAGATGAGCCACGAATATATCAAAGCATAAGGGTTGTGTGTCTTAAAGGGACAGTTCACCCCTAAATCAAAAATTATGAATTACCTGTAGTGCTTTTTGTCAGTCTAGATTGTTTTGGTGTGAGTTGCTGAATGTTGGAGATATCAGCCGTAGTGATGTCTGCCTTCTCTCCAGTATAATGAAACAAGATGTCACTCAGCTTGTGGTGCTTAAAACGCCCAAAAATACATTTGATAAACTCAACATCAGTGTCTCTTTCCGGAAATCATGACCTGGTTACTCAAGATAATCCACAGACCTTGTTGTGAGCAGTTTCAGGTAGGAACTATTTTCCTTCTACTGAACTACACCTGCCACACGTATCACTGTGCAGAAGGAAGTGTAAATCTACTCATGGACGAGAGGCTCATGCTCCTGACAGTGCGATATGGAAATATTAATAGCGTCCTCCTCGGTGAGCTGTAACGTTAGCTAGCTCAGTGGTGCTAAGTGAGCTAGCAATAGATGCACGCTTCCTTCTTGCGGTGATACATTTGGCAGGTGTAGTTTGGTAGAAAGAAAATAGTTCCTACATAAAACTGCTCAAAACAAGGTCTGAATTATCTGAGATTGAGTTTTTCAAATATGTTTTTTTGACACTGAGCACCACAAGCCAAGTGCCATATATTATATTTGAAATAAAACAGACATCTCCAACTCTCGACAGCTCACACCAAAACAATCTAACCGATAAACAGAACTACAGGTAAGAGGAATGATATATATTTTTGACTTTGTGGTGACCTGTCCCTTTAAAAATATATACATCACTGTTTGGTAATCCAAACTTACTTGAGCCTTCATTGCACCCATGCGTATGCTCTCGTAGTAGTGCAGCCTGGCCTCTGGGTGCTGCATGTTGTACCCAAACCCTGCCAGGCTCACCTGGTCACACAGCTGCAAAGCCATCACCACTGCACTGGCACCTAGTGTCGGCACCATCTGTATGAGGAGAGAAAATGCCAGTATAAACATTAAATATGACACAATATTTTCTGTAAGAAACGCCCATTATAAAGGGCATTGTGTATAAACTGAACAAGCATGTCATGAACTCAAGGCTGTGTGTGCTCATTTTTCATTCCCTTAATCCCTAGGCCCATAGCAAAGTCAATACACGTCTGAGCCAGGCATGTCCATATATTGTTCAGGACAGGTTAGGCCAAACAGAGGGACAATTATTTTAGGAGTCCTCTTTTGTCTGTTTGCAGTATTGTATGAAAGCTTACAATGAAGCATGAGCAAAGCATGTCAGAACTCACGTTTCCCTGTTTCAGAGCATATTTCTGCAGGACCTGTCCTGTCTTGTGAATAATCTCTGGGTGCAGGATCCTGAAGTTCTCTGGTCTCAGGGGAATATTATCCACCACCTCCCTCCAGAACCATATTTTGGACCAGAAGCTCTATTAAAAAAACACAACACATGAGATGAAGAGCGTGTAGTGTGAGGCAGAGAGCGTGATGATGCGATAGTAGTGTTGCTGCATGAGTTGCTGTGACACTCGTGGCTTATGTAAGACACCATTTCTGTGTGTAACCGTTCCTGTGATGTAGGCTTACCAGAGGCTGCTTGGTGATGACAGAAGTCAGCCAGTCCAGGTCCAGGCTCTTAAAGACCACCAGAGCAACCATGGCGGTCTTTTGGTACTCGTTTGCAGAGCGAGGTGCTCCCTCTGGGTAAATCAGGCGGATGGTGGTGTGAGAACCAGCGTCTTTCTCGAAGCCGGGCACTGGAGCATTATTCAGCCTGGTAACAGAGATGAAAATGTATGTATGAAATTAATCATGCTTTCTGTGCTTTCTTCAAGCCTTTTAAAGGGACAGTTCACACCAAAATCAGGAATACATATTCTCCTCTTACCTGTAGTGCTATTTATCAATCATGTAATGGCGCTGGAGGAAGTGTACAACTACTGCTAGCTCACCTAGCACCACTGAGCTTGCTAACATTTCAGCTCATGTAGCGTAAGAAATAATCCCTAATCCAGTTAAAGTGATATACTGCATATATTGATCAAGAAACAAAGCCATATAACCATCATATAACCATGTTTTATGCATAAGTTCTTATAAAACTGAGTGAGATGCATTTATATGTGTTAAAACACTGTCAGAAATAACCAAGTATTCATAATATGAGTTCACATTATATCCATACGCTAAAGAACACACACATTCAAATATAGCCTATTGTACTCTGTATAATGATAACTCACATATACTCAAATGCTTGTATTACCTGATGCGCATTAAAGGATTATATTGCATGAAGGCATAGGGGACCCCAAGTTCCATATGTTTTTTAAAAATAGTGTAAACCTGAGTTCCAACCTAATGGTGGGAGAGTTTGGGGATTTATAGGCCGGGGGGAAAAGATACACCATTAAGACATGCCTGGGCATGTTCGGGCATGTCTGGACAAAAGCGAAAAGGCCGGCCACCAATAGGTTTGGGCTCAGGTAGGAAGGGCTAAAGAAAGAAGGTGGAGATTCTCTTGAATCTTCACCAGCATAAAAGGGACAGCTCAGAAAGTGAAACTTCAGTCCTGCTCCGGAGCTTGACTCGATGAGTTGTATGTGTTAAAGCTTGTGAACACGTTAAACTCGATTGCATCGGATTCTGCCTGTCTCCAGTGTTTCTTTGAGTTTTACTTAGCTGAATCCAAGGTACCAGATCGACATCAAAGGGCAACTGAGAAGTCAAGTGGAGGACAAGGTCGGGAGCCTACAGGCCCACTTCCAGGCACCGCTTTTTACCTCTACACTCAGCTGAAGAGGACGCCATTAATGTGTACATCTTACATTGTCACGACCATGAGTCTCCCGTCCATGAGCACATTCTTCCCTCTGTGTGGCGATACATTTAACTGGTGTAGCTCAGTAGAAAGAAAATAGTTCCTACATCAAACTGCTCACAACAAAATCAGTGGATTATCTTGAGTAACCAGGTCATGGTTTCTGGAAAGAGACATTGGTGTTGAGCACCACATGTTGAGTGCCATCTAGTTCCACTGTATTTAAGAGAAGACATCTCTTTGGCTGATACCTCCAACATTCGGCAACTCACACCAAAACAATCTAGACTGATAAGCACAATAGGTAAGAGGTAATTTGATTTGGAGTGAACTGTCCCTTTAACCTCATTCAGTTTTTGGCTGCTGAGGAAAAAGTCCATCACAATAGGTTAAAAATAGCCTCTGTAATCTACCACAGTAGTAAGATATCCATCCACTTGTGTCTGTCTAACACTGGTGCACATACCTGATAATGATGTCATACTGATCTATATGGGATCCAAGATGGCTCCCGTGAAGAACCCCTCCATTGCCCACCACCACGCATCGCCTGCAGCTGCCCTCGCTCCTCAGTGATGGAGGCAGGCCAGGCTGAGGCAGAGATGCGAGAGCATGGGCCAGATGCTCTTCGCTGCCCTGGAGCCCCAGAGGAGGCGACAGATCCCAGGGCACAGGCCTGACCCCCTGCACAAACACAGGGATGTCTAGAAGGCCTGCGGAACAGGACAAGGGCTTAAGGTGGTTCAGACACCAGCGAGGCTGACAGGGGCCTGACAGCAGGAAAGCTGAGCGATTCAGTGAGATCTAAAGAGAGGGGTAAACATAGAAGTAAGTTTGGTATGAGTGAAGACATGCTCCAAAATGACTGCTAAGCTGTGTGTTTGTACCAGATCTTTAGGATGTAGGTTGTCATCACTGAGAGTTGCCGCTCTATTCGAAGGGAGATACGCAGGAATCAGAATAGCTGAGTAGCATCCGATCAGCAGCACCAGACTGAAGGCAAGGTTCTCACTCCTGCACAGCAAAGAAAGAATCCAACAGCTTTATAGCATTAAATAACAGGTCCACAAAATAAATACAGCGCCTGCAGAAATGCACCTGCTGAGGAAAAATTCCCTGGAGTCAGTCTTGGTGATCACTCGCTGTCTGTGAAAGACAGGCGTTGGCGTTGCAGCCTCTGCAGCCTCAGGCAGCAGTGGGGAGCCATCGTCTGGGTCCTCCACGCTCAAGTGATTCAGCGTCACCATGGCACCTGTACTTCCACCTGAAACACACACACATTATGAAACTCACAGTAGTGATTATAATCAAATTCATTATGCAACAAAAATGTAATGAACCACTTTCTTGACAACAGCATGAAATCATTCACAGAGCTTAAGAGTATCATGTTGCCACATGTCAACAGAAACTATTTTTAAACTGTGTCTACACACTTAAGCATCAAATGTACCATCAGTTTGAGTAATATGAACAAGATAACTCACAGCCTGGTAGAGACGTAAGCTGATGTTTAAAAGTCACTTCACTTGTGCTCCATGCTTGAGGGCAAAGCGATGTTGTGTGCAGCTAAAATGGCTGATGCCTCTTCCTACTCAACTGAACTCTGCCCCTTCCCTCAACATCTGTTAAGCATTAACACTCAGTCACACCCTGGCGAGAATGTAAATAAGGGTTTGTGTGTGTGTGTGTGTGTGTGTGTGTGTGTGTGTGTGTGTGTGTGTGTGTGTGCGTGTGTGTGAGACAAGTTGTCCCATCCAATAAAAATCTCTATGTAAATGTCAACAAGCAGAAGGGGAAGTGTCCAGGAAACACATGCAGTGTGAGAAAAAAACATGATAAAGAAACACTGGGTGAAACCTTAAAGCAGGGGTGTCATTTTAGTTTATGGGTCACATACAGCCTGGTTTGATTTCAGGTGGGTCAGACCAGGTGCTTTCTTTTAGTGTAAAGATGTACACTCCTTCATCCATTTACAAAACAGATTATGAACAGTGTGAAATATCTTAAGTCACTCTGCTACTCACTGTCTTCACATGTGCACCACATCAAACTAAAGTGGAAGCTACTGAGGAAGCAGGTTAAATTATCCACTGCCCTACAAACCAATTAAAACACAAGAGTTATGGCAGTGCCTTAGCAACAGGATTCCACCAATATTGTTTTATCTAGTCCATACCCATTGGTAGCTTTGTCACCTTCTACCTATGCCAATCCTCAATGCCTATGTGCAGTTTCACATAGACTGACCACGTCAGTGAGTAGAAAAACGTGGGACACACAGAATGACTGACTGACAGAATGACACACTGACAGTTTCCGTGATTATGTACAGCAAACCATACCATGACTTAGTCATACCAAAAATTAGAGAAAAAAACAAAACATTGGTCCACAGGGGGAGCCACAGCGATCGGTCGCATTTTAGCCATTTTTAAGCATTTTTCTGTTGTTATAGCGCCACCCAGTTGCCAATTAGAGTTAAATTTCCCCAGTCATCCTACATATCGACCAAGTTTAGTAAAAATCGATATGGCGGTTAGGCCTAGATAAGAAATTAGCTCTCTAGCGCCCCCATTTTGTTTGATCAGGTCAATAATGGAGGGGTCCCCTCAGATTATGTGTGGTCATATGCCTACAAAGTTGCGTGGTGATCGGTGAAACCCTTGAGATGTTATACACCTTTATGTGATGAGCCACGCCCTCCGCAATATTCATTGCCTTATAGAAGCTCAGTTTTAGTAAGTTTTCCAACTTTTGCCAAGAGGGAACTTTAGATATTGGTCCCTAGATTATGTTCACCCAGTTTCATGCAGATCGGTCAAACTTCCTAGGAAGAGATTGATTTTAAGTGTTTTTCAAAAAATTCAAAATGGCGGAAAATCTGTACAACCGGAAGGTATGGGTTCTTGAGGCAAATTTGTTGCTCATGAGGAGAGGCATCTCTGTGCAAAGTTTCATGTCTCTACGACATACGGGGCATGAGATATGCCCATTCAAAGTTTGAAATTTCAATTGGTTGCTATAGCGCCCCCCTTTGGCCAATTGATGTAATATTGCTTCATTCACATCCTCCCATGACCCTTTACCACTGTGCCAAATTTCACATGGATTGACCAAGTCACTGAGGAGAAAAACGTGGAACAGAGACACAGACACATCCACAGACAGAGTTTTCGTCATTATATAGTAAGATAGTACGATATAGAAATTTGATACAGATTCTCTTGTACTGAAGCTTCTGATTGACAAAACTTTGCAGAATGTTTAATATCTTTAAATATGACCACAATAAATATTCATTGTTTTTTTTCCAGAATTCTGAAGAACCTCTAAAGCAGCATTTTTAGTCTGCTCTCATTTCCCACGTCATCAAATACCAGTGCTTTGTCACAGCCCTTGTTGTCTCATAGCAACACACAGGGCGCCCATTATCATCTCTATGTGACGCACAGCTGACACATATTGTAATATATGGTTAGTGTGGTGGTGAAACAGTTGTGGTGAGGTTTAGGCAGCAAAACTACTTGAGGTCTAGAAAAAAATGATCATGTTTTTGGGTTAAAAGAAGTGTGTTTGTTGTGCAATAATAATGTAAAGTGAGGTAATGATGTCAGCACATGACAATTATGTAACATTATGTTTTGTTTGATTCATCCTCCACCTCCCCTCCCTCTCAACCTACGCAGACTTTCTTGGTCTTTACACATCAGTTGCTCTCAGTGTCAAGTATTGCAGTGGATAGGTTTACATTGGAGTTAGTTAAAAGCCTGCTGCATCTCTTAAACATGTTAAGGATGCCTTTGGTGTCGATATCATACGCCAACGGGCGTGACAAAGCGTCAGTATTTGACGCCCTGGGGATGAGAATGCTACTCACTGTTAAACATACTGCTGAAATCTGGCACCTCTTAACCTTCACAAGTTTGTCACTATTAGGTGTGCAAAGTCAAGTACAAGTCATCCAGTGGGTCAGATTGGACCCTGTGGTGGGCTGGTTCTGGCACATGCACTGTATGTTTGACACCCTTGCCTCAAAGCTTAGATGCACCAAAACAAAAACACTGCATGTATGTGTGTTCAGTTTGATACACCTATAAAATGGATGGAAAAAATTCCAAAGTAAAGGTCTGGACCGTGATTGATTGTTTGGTGTGCAATCAGATATTTACGAGGTATCACTTGGCAGTAATGAAAACTTTATAAATAACATAATCCCTCAAAACGGTGTGTTTATGGGGGTTGCACTCCTGTAAAAGAGGAGCATGGACAGTTGCAGCAACGGGAGTGAGTAAAACCAGGAGCTTGTGGAATGAATGTCCCCTCAGCTCATGACCCGGGGCATGACATGCCTGAAGGGTTGGATGTACTTGTATATGAATGTGTGTGTGTGTGTGTGTGTGTGTGTGTGTGTGTGTGTGTGTGTGTGGCAGAGAGGAAAAGAGGGAGGGAGATTGTAATGCTGGGGAATACACACAAACATACATGCATACACACACTCCAAAGTGCACACACACCTGTTTGATGGGGTGACACAATGTCCCACCATGAACCCGGCATTCCAGCCAGCGAGCCACTGGGCTTGCAGCACTTCTGTATAAAGTGACACACAGCTCGTTAGATTTTACTCCAGATTATGAGTTAGAAAGCTTCAGCTGTTCAAAATTACTTTATTGGCTGTTTTATCTTTTTCTGTATCAAACAGAGATGGAGGAAGGGGTGCAGTGGGCAGCCAGTGTGATGGACCATACAACAGGAATAGAAAAGAAAGCTCAGGTAGGTGTGAGAGAAATACTAATGTTGCTCCTTGAAATGATCATTAGAAACTCACCACTTGGGGGATTCTGTTTCTTAAAAATAATTCATGTTACTAATACTGCTGTATCACAATTTTCAAAGCCCTGATTTGTGGAAACATGAACAGCTATAATATGTAAAGACTGTTGTATTAATGAGCTGCGATATCCTAGAAAACATGTCAGCGTTGACATTAAGTCCCAAACAAGAGGATAAAATGTCTGTCAGCCTGCTTCAACGATCATTTGCAGGCACACTGGAAAACACATACTTAGAAATTATAGATAACAGTGTTACTAGATATGATGAAATTGCTTGCAGTTGGATCATTTTCTTTTCCAGAGTTTTAGTAAAGCCTGTTTTAGTCAGGGGGTTTTATTCTTAAAGTTTAATTAACTGATCATACCTTTACCATCCAAATACATTTTGGAAAAGTAATCAAAACTGAATGTTTAATTTCCTGACACAATATAAACTGACTTCCATCCTTTATTTCTGAAAACCACTGTATTTCTTGCAACGTATTAAGAGTTATTTTAATTCCTTTTATGTGCACTAAACAACATAATGAACTGTCAGCAAAAGAGGTCATTATTGGCTGATGGATAAGAGAGGTTATGTGTCACATCCACCGAGAAAAAATTAGATATGCTTTTAGGGGGTCCACCAGAAAATTTTGATACCACCTGGCAGCCATTTATTTCATTAGTTTTTAAAAAATGTTATATTATTTTTAAAACATTGCTATCTGCATTTCACTTTTCTCTATCTGGCATTTTTTTTAATTTATTTTATTTTTCTTGATTTATGTATATGTGAAACTGTGAATGTATGTGTTTATTTAAATGTAATTATTAATTCATGTATTTATTTCTATGAATGTATGCTTACTGATGGTGCAGTACGTGGGGGATGGGGGTGTATACAGGGATTTGATTTCATTATTCTGTGTTCAAGTTGTCCGTTTTTTAATATTCATTAAAAAAAAAAACTTGTTAAAAGACCTTGTTAAAAAAAAGAGGTCATTATGATCAATATTTGGTGACATTAACTTCATGTATATTCTAATTACTCTAATTCAAATGATCTTCCCAGGTTAATTCAGGGAAAATGTGTTAAAAATATATATATATGTTTTTGGCAATCAAAGGGTTTTTATTCAGACTAGACAAAAGAACCAACAAACACGAACCTCTCATCAATTAATGAATGAAATATTATTTTACTTTTTAAAAATAATTGGAATAAAACAAGCATGCAGGGTACATAAAGGCTCACATGCACACAAAGACATGTTCCTTTGAATTCTGTATCAGTGATAAATAATGTAAAAACAACTGAACAGCATACGAGAGGCAATTTATTGTGAATACTACTTTTGTTATGGCCAAGCCCAGCTTGCACTATGCTGTGAATTTATTTTGACATTAACACCACCATTCCCAGCTCTCAACACCCTTAGCCTGCTTGGCACATCTGCATTACAAGCCAATCATATCTCTCTCATCTAGATTTTCTAGTAGCGTTTTCTACATTGCTATCTGCATTTCTGTTGGTTTCCAGGCAGAGGAGCGAGTGAGGAGGATCTCCTCAGAGCTGCACTGTGAGATTTTGGACCTGAGTGGTGGAGAGAATATCACAGAGCTGTGCAAAAGGAAAAAGAAGATCAAGAAAACATACTCGCCCAGGGTGTCTGTGGAAATCCCTGTGGTGAGCTACAACTTTCAGAAACCTTATCTTCATGTGCACAACAGAGATATGAAAATTGAATCTCTGTGTCCCTTCTGTCCCTTTGTGTTTGTGTGTGGAAAGACGGGGCCCATGGATACTGCAGAATTCATGAACGCAGCAAGTCAAGGCAAACTGACTGTAATAGACAAGTATCTGGTTGATGGTGGGAACCCAAATGTCCATGATGAGGTATGCTCTCACTGTGTGGTAGGAACACAGACACATGTACAACATACAGCAACATAAATATGATATATTTAAACCCTCCAGTTGAAGAGGACAGCGCTGCACCGGGCCTCTCTGGAAGGACACACGGCAGTTGTCCAAACGCTTTTAGAAAAAGGAGCCGATATCAACTTTAAAGATCAAGTAAGACGTGCGGGCACATGGCTGTTTGTAAAGATGATGATGAGATTGGTTCAGATTATCTTCACTCACTAAAGCTCCAGCCTCCAGTGGCCTCAAGTGAGTGATATTAATAGAACAGAGCCATGCTACTGTGTTTCAGCTGGGCTCCAGGGCCATACATTGGGCCTGCAGAGGGGGAAGCCTGGGAGTTGTCAAAGCCCTGCAGAGCCACGGGGCTGACCTGAATGTTAGAGATAAGGTAAATGTGCATTTTATTTGTGCATGAATTTTTACCTGGACTCATACTGAACATACTTGAGGTCTAATGCTAATGTACAGTTGGTGCTTTATGTGCTGGTCACAGTCACAGTGCATGTCAATGTCCACATTACAGCTGTACAGCACTCCTCTGCATGTGGCCACTAGAACGGGCCACACAGCCATCGTGGAGTACCTCCTGTCCTGTGGTGCCAAAATCAACTCCAGGGACAGGGTAGGCAGCAGCTCAACACTGTGTTTCACTTCAGTGTTTCATCATCACTATATTTCCCTTCTGCCATTGATTCATTTTTCTCTTCCCTCAGGAAGGGGACACAGCCCTGCATGATGCCGTGCGTCTCAACAGATACAAGATAGTGAAGCTGCTCATAGCTGCAGGGGCTGACACGAAAATAAAAAATCATGTGAGTTTTTACACCTGTTGTGCATGTCCGGTTTAACTTGAACATAATTTAACAGGAATAGTTTGACATTTTGGGGAATACACTTATTATATATAAAGATATCACCGTCCTATCTCTGTGTAAAATATGATGCTACAGACAGTATGATTAGATTAGCATAAAGACTGCAATCAGGTATAATCAGAAAAGCTCAGATTCATCAGATTGATCAGTTAGGACTTGGTGTTACCCCTCAACAAATCATCAGTTGTGTACCTTAACATTATTGGGTGTTTCGGCCTTTATCACAAGACCCCCTCCATTGAGGCAGGCCGACCACAGGCTGATCAGGCCTGGGAGTGTGTCAGAAGGTTGGCTCCTCTGTGGTCACCTGGGGGCCAGATGCTGATCCTCTCTCTTCAGACATAACCAGTGACTGCACCTCTCAGCTGTACTGGCCAGATCTTTGACCACTTTCCTCTGGGCGTGCCCATTAATCCCAATTTCCTTGAGGAGCCTAGTGGTGGATCTAGCAAAGAAGCCTCTGCAACCCACCTCACTCAGTCGCACCTCAGCTTTCTAGCCTCTAGTTGCCGCTTCAGTTACGAGGTCAGCAGAGCGCATGTCATGTAGTTTCTCTTTTTTTTTTAAAATCCAAACCAAAATCAAAACATAAAGCAGCAGCTGATTTATGAGGGAGTATGTGCTGGACTTTTTCTTGGCCAGGCACAGTAACTTCCTCAAATCTCTAATAGTTGGTGGTGACTAGCCTTTAATGAGAAATAGTCCAGCACAGAGCTCACTGCAGAATGGCAAACTGGTGTTGTTAAACCAGAGAGTGCCCATTGGTTGGAAGGTCCAATAGTTCATGTCCTATTGGACCAAAAGCCCACAGTTTGTCAGCCTGTTAAAGCCGCAAATTAGCCCAAAAACACTGCTCCAAAAATTCACACTCTAGAGTTGGAGTTCAGCGACTGCCTGCCTGCCTACTTCTCAGATTTCATTAACATATTGCTCAATTTATCAGAGAATGTATAAATCATATCATAAATCAGGATTTTTAATGACCTTTAAAGAAAGACTTTTCATTCTGGGAACTAAGTTAAATAAACAAAAGTAGCTTTTATTTTTGGGATTTCTGGCACCTTTAAACTTGAGGCTTATGTACAGATTTAATAAACAAGTTATAAGGTTGTAATTGGTCACTGGCACTAGGGCACTATGGTCTAGGTACCATGTCTGAGGGGTACTTCTGGTTCCATAGGTACCATACTGAAAGTGTTTGGTGGAAATGGGGCTATAGATATGAGAGTGGTATGAATCTTCCTGTCCAAGAAAATGAATAAACATTATTCCCAAACTGTTCCCTTAAAGGACACATATTGAATGCATGCAAGAACCTAACATGCCGTGGCTCATATCTCAACACTGTAAATGCAATACAACCCCTCACTAACAAACTGACAGTATGACCTGTGTTACAGGAGGGAGTAACCGCAGTACAGCAGGTAAAACAATGGCAGTCTGACATCATGGAGACCCTGCAGAGCCTGGAGAAGCCGAGAGAGGTGGGACCTGAAAACACCTTGAGAGAGGAGTGAACAGCATGTATATCTACTCAGTATATTCTCTATGACTTCTCTTTTTATCACTTTCTGTCTCAGGTTCAAAACACATTCTGTAATTCCGCTGTAGGTCTGTGTACATCATGTCTGAGATTGAGTGTATGTATGTGACAAAATCAGCTTTTCCAGGGCATGGCGTTAAAACCTCTGAGATTAGTCTGAACTCTGACACTGGTAAATGTCAACTTGGGTGTGAAGGATTCAAAATGATCTGCTTATCTTGAATATGGAGACAAAAACATCTGAATGAGGAAGCAAAGCTGATTTTTTATCAAAACCTTACTGCCAAGTTTTGGCTTTTGATGTTCACATCTAAAGCGCTTCATGATCTGAGGAGCACTCTCATGGATGTTTCATATCTGATTTGTGATGCCTTTGGAAGCTGAATAATATTAATAGATATAGTGCTGTGCAGAAGCTGTTTGAATATACATCAAGAAGTCCTTGTTTTATTGAGGCGGCAGACAAGGCCACAGCACACAGTAGCACTGTGTTTGAGACGTCAGCTGACGATAGCAGCTGGTATGCCCCCACTAAAGTCAGGGATTCGAGGGGAGCTCAGTGGGCATATTTTCCTTCTACCATCAGTGGCTCAAATGTTCCTGAGGGAGGTTGGTCATTCACACTGGGGAAACCAACAGCTTGCTTCACTGCTTGTAATGTAGTTGTTTGTGCAGTTAGTCAGTACACACGCAGCCATTCATTTCGTGAGCACATTTTGTTTCACAAATATTGTGCCACTGCTGCATTTTTCGTAATGTGAATGTAAAACGCTGTTTTGAAAAGCGTAGCTACTGTCTTCTGTTAAAAAATTCAATGTGTTCATTGTAGACAACTCGTCAGATACATTATCAGCCACACACAGTATTTCCTGTTCCAAGCAAGGCTGTTTAACTGTCCGGGACTTCTGTGGAGATACACCATACAAGGTTACGCAAACTATGAGACAGTGTTGTCATTTATTTGGTCAGCGTGACACTAACAGAGATATTACAGTACATCATTTGTTCAAGGGCGTGAATTTTTATTTTCAACATTTGAAAGAGGATTTTGGAGGTTTTGGACATCCTCTGCTAGCAAATTTTGAGCATCAAACTCTTAATTTCTGCGTCCTGGTGAAATTTTCTGCACTAATTTGTACCTTTTCTGCATCAGTTTAAGGTGTAAATGCCTTTAACCTTTATCCCAATTTTTTCATAAATGTAAAACTATTCAAATCATCTGTCTGATAACCCTTTAAAGTAATCAATCTTTTTTTTTTTTTTTTTTAATTTTCATGGAAAAGTAGGTGAAAAAGTGTTTTTTATGGTCGGTCACAATTCTGACCAGTGGGATAATGTGTTGTATCCACCATTCATTGACCAAATCAACATATTCTCTTATGCAGTCATCAAAATCCTTGTATATCCCAGCTCAGTTATTAACACATTTAAAACTCTGTCTCTGGCAGTCCCCAGCATTTCCACTAGAAAACTCCATCACATTCTAGAGTGACTACTCTACATATCAAAAATTCTTACACATACATATTACACATACATATCGCCTCTTTGTCAGTGGCCTTTTACATTCACATATGATGTGCAAGGTATCCCTCTGCATCTGCTGTGACGTTCCAGTACGCCCTACCAATACTGGGACGTCAACAAAAGCACATGGTTAGGTTTAGAAAACAACATTTGGCATTCAGGAAGCAAACACTCGGCTCCTGGGTGAAAGTCCAGGGTTTGTGGACCACCCAACCTACCCAATCTGTACAGACTTTCCTGCTCCTTATATTATGTCATTTCCAGCAGGGTATCGTACCGCCCCCGTAGGTGCCATCCAGCCATATCATAACAACACCAAAGGTTACGTCCGACCCTGTTACCTACTACCACGAAAGGTGGCTTTTGGCTTCAGGTGTCCGAAGCCAAAATCTTTTTCAAAGCAGCGGTATTCGACGACTTCAGAATGAGAACGGGCAGGAGGGGGAGGCGATAATCACTGTTTAAGATGTCCTATCATGATCTGTTTGCCTCAGTTCAGCATATGAATCCAAACCTCACAGTATATATCTGACACATCGCTATCACAATCACTGAAGACAGCAATCTTTTTGATTTAGAGGGACAACTGTAAGGTTGTATGCATTGTCTGGGCTGTCACCTAAACCCCACATACCCAAAACTTCACTCAAAAGAAGAGTAGAAGGTTAGGCAGATCAAGAACTATGTACTTTTAGATGTGTTATCGCACCGGTCACTATTGTTGCTGTCAACATGTTCACTAATTCTGTGACCCTTCTGAACAAAGTTGAGTAATTACAACTGCAAATATTGATGCGAGACACCTTAAAGATAATGTATACCAAAACTCTCTGTCCTATCTTTATGTTAACACACTTGACTAACCATTTGTTTGGGAGCATTGATGCAGCCATCCTTGTCTCATGGTGCAACCAGGAAGTAAACAGCTCTGGTCATGTGGCAATTTACAATAAACTAAACTAAATTTGCTGGATATGCATTTATACATCATTCGGTAACATTTTTAGAGCCTTATAACTGAAAACCTTTTTTTGTAGTCACTATTGTTACCAGTGTGATTTAAATGCTGTCAAAATAAAAGTCCTGTGCTACTTGTGTCTTTCTATAATCAGGGACAAATGCACATGCTCCAAATGTTAAGGAGAGAATCCCCCTGCATTCCCCTGAAATCTATGCCTGCGTTATAGTGTATGCATAAGATTAAATCTGTTGGATTCATATATGTTTTACAGCTTTAATTCTGTTCATGTGAGCTACAAACTGTATGCGGTGCTGTTGCTGAGGGCTGGAGTGGTGTAGAATGAGGAGGGGGATGGGAAAACTGGCTTCTGCTTGGAGCTGTGCAGCAGCCAAAGACCAGAGGAACCTGTTTATCCATGAAACGGTTAAAGTTCCTCCCCATAGCTGCAGATTTCTGACATTCTTTGTGGTAAAAACATCGGAAATGGCTCCATAATCACCTGATAAGGAACGACTTTGTCATGTGTCCAAACACAGGGAAAAACGCACATCTTTTCTCAACACAAGGCTTTATTGAACACATTACTGCCTATGTGATACACAGACCTATTCCAGGAGAATGAGGGGATACTGTGCAGTACTTTTTATCTAAGAGCACTCAAAGCAACATTATATTGTTACTGGAAAAAAAAGGTAACCATGGCAATGATATTTTCCAGGCAGGTGAGAGTCTGGACAGGCACGCTTTTAAAGCACCATTTGTTTTCCAGTTGGAAATAGATGTGGAATTTTTGTGAATTCAATTCCACTCAGGCAGGCGTGTAGAGGCAAAGAAGGCTTGAGAGCAGGCGCCATCTCCGAAATAGCAGGAAGGAAAAATGCCGTTGCATGATCTGAAATGCGGGACATTACACATACAGCAAAACAACAAAGTATCATTGTGTGCTTGGAGATAGTGGTACTGACGCATGCTCTGGACTGCTTCTCTGTGTCTAATGTTACCTTCAATCTTTCTGATTGTACTCTGCAGCACACTGCCATACCAAAGCGGGTCTCAACGAAGCAGCAGTATGGGTTCATGATATTGAGTATTGATTGTTTTTCCCCTCAAAGAATATAACAATAAAAACCAGAAACTGCAATAATCCAGACGAGAGACTCCGAGAATATTTACAACAAAATCTCATATCAATTCCCTGTTTAATCTTCGGTCCTTTTGTTTTTCCTGTGCACTGCAGCCCCAGGTGGATTTGTCCTTATTGATTTGTCTTTACAATCCAGCTGTGAGAAATAACACATGTAAATCCTGTCGACTGCTCCCGGCCTCCTCACCTATAATATCATTTGATTGTCTTTGGTTGAATTTCTATGTAGGCAACCCTAGACAACAAGACATGTCTACAAATGCTTCGTAAGGCCTATTAACTGTTCAAGTACACTGAACTCATCCGTAATCACAGAATAGCTGCGACTGGCTATAAAGGTTAATATATTCCTCAGAATACTCAACCACACTGTCTTAAATAATTTAGTAACATTGTTTTCTACCTGACCAATCAAAGAATTTTCTCTTCATTCATTTGAAAGGTCAGAACAAACACAATCAGTGACAATGAACGTGTGAACACTTCACAGAAAAACACATAATTACATTTTCTTAAATATATATAAATACTTTCATTCAGCTGCCTCAATTATGATCTGTGTCCTTAATTTAATGCATATAATTATGATCATCTAACAACTCTGATGATGTCCAGTCGTCCAAGTCTTTCAGGTTATAAAGGGGAAAACGTGAGAGAATTATCCAGCGGAGTTAAATCTCCTCTCCCATGATTTCCACTGGGAGACAGAGGTTTATTGAAGTGAGGAGAGCTGCTGGACTTGTGAGTGATGGGGGCTGAGACTCAGCACCAGCTTAGCAACATGTCCCTCAGAGTGAAGGCAATCTTCAAACAGGCCTCAAATTCATTCGGATGACAGACACCTTAGGGGAAATGATGCAGAGGAGACGGGAAGGAGAGGGAAGTGTGCGTCATCTCATTTTCAGATGGACACCCTGGAACTACACTCTTGTACCAAAATGTCTTTAAGGCAATGTGAATACTGATCCTCTAGAAGGAGAAACACCGGTGACGAAATGCATTCCTTGAAAGATAAAGATGGCAGCAGCACTGTTAATTGGGATGAGATTTTAAAGGTGCCCCATGGAGTGTTTTTTTGAATAAACTAAAGTTATGTCTACATTCACTGTTTTCAAGTCTTGTCTAACAAACGTGTTGAATGCATTTCCTTCCTCATAAAGCATCTGTAAAGCCTTTTTTTTCTCCAATATTTTAAACTGTGCATTATTTAGATCCACGTTCGCTATCTTGCAGTACTAGAGGTCTCCACAGGGGACCTTTAAGTAACACTCTGTTTTAATGGATTGCAGCAATTTTAAAGTGAACTGATCTAATTAGTGGCTGAAGTCTTTGACATACAGACTTAATTTTACACCTTTTCCTAATGCAGGAGAAAAAAAGCCCTCCTTGAGTGTCCAGTGTGTAAGATTTAGGGGAATTTAGTGGAATCTATTGGTGAGGATTGCAGATTGCAATTAGCTGACACTTCTCCCAGTTTGATTTCTTTAATGTTCATCGGTCAGGACGTTTTTACCGGTAGCTGAATCATCCGCAGAGGCCTCCACCTCTCCCAAACAAACAGAGTTGGTGACTCAAACTGGTAAAGACACTGTATTAAAGCAGTTTCACGTTACAAATCAGTGTTTCTCCTATGCTGTTTGGCTCATCAGAAACAGGCTGCTAGCCCAGCACCTGCTAATGTATGCTCGCCTTTCTTCACTGATAACATTATATGTGCTCACCTTTTTTCTGATCCAGACATTCAAGTTTTTTTTTACAGGTAGCCGGATTATCCGCAGAGGTCAAACGCACCTGGGATCTAAACCAGTTAAAACACTGAATAAAGCAATGTCACCTTACAAATTTGTGTTTCTCCAATGCTGTTTGGCTCATCAAAAACAGGCCACTAACCTAGCATCTGCTTATCAGTGCTCACCTTTCTTCTCGGATTACTTAAATTCCAGACGTTCAGGAGGTTTTTATAGGTAGCCGAATTATCTGCAGAGGTCTCCTCCTCTCCAAAACAAACGTTCCCAGTAATTTAAACTGGTAAAAAACACTGAATAAAGCAATGTCACATTACAAATTAGTGTTTCTCCGATGCTGTTTGGCTCAGCCACTAGCCTAGCGCCTGCTAATGTGTGCTCACCTTTTTTCTCAGGTTACTTAAGATCCAGATGTTCAGGCGTTTTTTATCGGGGGCTAAATTATCTGCAGTGGTCTCTTCCTCTCCAGAACAAACAGATTGATTATTTTAAACTGGTAAAAACACTAAATAAAGCAGTTTCACATTTTAAAAAAACCTGTTTTTCTGACGCTTTCATCGTGGAGGGGCTGCTAACTACGGTGGCCGATGCAAAAACACAAATGGCCCTATCAAGAGTCAGTATTTGGTTTGTTGACAAGCACTTAACGGAACATAATTATTATATTATATTCCATTTCTGCCAATATATCCCCCTAAATCCTACACACTGGACCTTTAAAGTACCAGATGTGCAACTGCATGGTAAGAAGAGGTCTCCTATATTCCGCTGTCTGATATATGAAGCTAACTATTCTAGAGAAACCACTAAGACACTGTTTATGAGTACAAGGAACAAAACAGCAGCATTTGGTGTTAACATGACTTGTGAAGTTAAAGGTGTGCTTCATGGTGTTGTGCATTTCAAGTCAGTCATACAGAAAGCCATTGTTTGGTCAAATTGCATGTGCATTCCAAGCCACTGTGACGGCTAAGCGAGGAAGATGCAGAAAAAGAAAGTGATGGTGAAAAAAAAGAGAGAAAGACACAGAGAGAAGAGCTGGAGGGGAGTATACGAGTACACATCCCTGAGGCCCTCCTGGAAGTTGCTGGAACCCTGACCGTGTCTCCTCTGAGGTCCATGACAGTCAAAGCGCCAGAGTGCGGGCGCTGGAGGCTGAAGCCTGCGCACGCTGCACCACTCCTGGACACTTCTCTCTCTTCTGCAGCTTGTGGTTTTGAAACAGGCCCTCGTTTCGCGGGACACCATGAGCTCCATCTGGGAAAGTCAATAGGCCTGGAGGCAGAGACCCAGGACACTGTGACCAAACCACAGAGAAATACTACTGATGGACAGACTGTTCCAGCAGCGTATCAAACTTACCATATCCCTCAACACGTCCATCTGTGAATTCTCCTTCAAACTTCATGCCGTCGAATCTACTGAAGACTCCTGTGCCTTGAAACTTCCCATGTGCAAATTCTCCTTCGTACCTGACAGAGTGAAAAGAGAGCAAGGCATCATTTGTAACTTTTTTTTTTTTTTTAAGATATTTTTTAGGGAATTTTTTGCCTTTAATCGACAGGACAGTGAAGCGTGAAGGGGGGAGAGACATGCAGGAAAGGGCCACAAGCTGGACTCGAACCTGGGCCGCTGCGGCAACAGCCTTGTATGTGGGGCGCCTGCTCTACCACTAAGCCACCGACGCCCCATTTGTAACTTTTCATCGAGGACAAAACTTGCTTTCTTTCTGTCTCACTCTTTGGCACACACACCTGGATCCATCTGTAAAGAGCAGCACACCAGAGCCGTGAAAGAGTCCATTCTCGAACTGGCCGGAGAAGCAGGTTCCATCCTGAAACTTGAGCTGGCCCACACCATGCCTCCGACCTGGAAAATCACACATCAGGGTAAGAAATGGCTCAAGCTTCAAACGGATGATGGAAACACAAGAAATCATGTCAAGGCAAACGACCTTGGGACCATTTGTCGATTCATTTTATCTACATGGGTGTCATCCTGCCTCATCTGACCACTTAGCCTCTAATGGATTACTCTTTAGTAATAGTGCATAACATACTGTAAGAGACGACCAACTAAGCATGACATTTGAACTTGCAATGCGGCTCAGGGTTTTATATTCACTTGGTATTGGAGAGCCACTACATATGTCACGAGTCAGTACGTGCTTGGATTTAAGTATCCCCCCCCCCCCATCAGCTAAAGGTTTACTACTGAATTAGGAGTCCCATCTGCCTCCTGTGTGGTGGGAATTACACAACTCTAATCCAGCAGATTTTTTAGCAGGGATTTTGACTTTAGGATCCAGGAATGTAGTTGCATCCCCCTCCTGGTAGCACATGATCCACTATTGATGCCTATAATCATGTCAGAGGGCACACACCTATGAGTTTCTGGACAAACTGAAAAGGTGGGCCAAGCTGCTGATGGAGGTTGAAGGAATACACCAATTAAAATAACATGGACAGTGTTTGCATTGACCTGAAACCATGACTGGATGCTGAGACAAAACAAAAACCCCTGGATGGTCCTGTTCCTGGTGTTCCGATTGATTTGGTTTCTCGGCAGCAGCTGACAGAGGACTCTCCAAGATTTCCCAAACAAGTCTAAAGTCTAATCCAGTAGATTTGACAAAGCCAGAGCTGGTAAATCTGTCTCGTTCGTCATGGGTTGCCAATGCTAGCTAATTGGGATTTGATTAAACGGCTTGAGCTTGCATGTCACTAACATCACTGCATGTGTGTGCAAGAGAGTTAAAGCATCCTCGTAATCTTTGCCACAGGTGAGAATTTGACAAAGATTTAACATTCTCGTATGCACACATGCCTGTAGATTAATGAACGGAAACCCTAAAATATTGGCCGCCACTGGTACTTGCGTTTGTTCCTGCTTGCTTCTCTGTAATATCATGACATTACATATACTGATGATTTAATGAGCATCAAGCCTTTACTGAGGCAGAGTGCTGCTACCTTAGCTAATGTAATGAGAAATAAATCTGACTAATGTCACAAGCTGTACTCGAGGCTAATCGACAGCGCTCTTTATTCCATTTGCATGCCATTCTGCTTTTTTTAAAAATACTATAAATATACCGTGTGAGTTGAGCTGAACACAGCTGAATGGGTATGTGTGGAAAAGATTAGATCATTTAAAACAGTAAAAATGTGCCAAAATAACAATTACTGATATTAATATTTTGGGGGAATATAGGTAACGTGTTCAGTTTTTGCAAATTGGGCACCTGCATACCAGAATACTTGTGCTAATTTCAAACTTTACATAACAAGCACCGAATGCATTTCCCCAGTCTGTCAGTGTCTCACCGTTCCCTTTCACTCGGCTGATAACTAACACAGCGATGCCTCAGAGAGACATTATGAGGACCAGATGTACCGTACAGAAGGTGCAAGTGAAAGCTTGTCTCATCTCTGTAGCTAAGTCGGTGCCACTCGCACACAAACTTAATTTAAAACCGAGAAGCAGGGCTGTCTTGCCTTCTTTCCACTCGCCGTGGTACTCTTCCCCACTGGCGTAGGTGAAAGATCCTCTGGTCAGAGTCATGTCACCCCTGGTTTCAACACACAAACACATTCATTAGCAGCACAGATAAAGTACACATATAATTTGCTGACCAGCAGCTATACATTTAATAGAAAAACACTGCACTTTGAATGGTTTCCTGTGAGTCTCTAACAGCTCTAAGAGGCTGTTTCTTTAACTGTCCGTGACCTCTGACTTCTGTAGAGGAAAGCGAAAAAGAAATGTTCCCTAATGGGATTACTTTTGCTCATGTAATTCTCAAGTCTAGCTGGGTGCCAGTGTTACAAGCTTCCCAAACATACTGCAATTTGGCATTACCTTTAATCAATTAAATAAATAAAGACAGAAAAGCATTCAATAGACTTTAACATACAACCTCGTGCAATGTGACTAGTCTTTAGTTAGAGTACTAAACACCATGAATAAATTACAATTGAATACCTGAAGCAGTTTTTGTGTTTTCTAAATAGGGTGGAAATTATAGTGAGGATTGCTGTGGGACAAAGCCTCAGTGTCAGTGCATGTTCCTGCAGTTGAACTTTAAGTGTGGGTCGGATCAAAGGATAAAGACAGGTCACACCAGATCCTATAACTGTCAACCTAAGAAGTCTGTTTAATGCCCGGTGCATGTTGGTGGTGGTGATGCTGGTCTGACCCCAGTTGAAAAACACACTTGGTGGTGAAACGCCCTCTGTAACGAACCAGGCTGGAAAACGTGACTGTATGACTGCAGATATAAACAAAAGCTTCTCCCACGGTGACCATTTCAAACAGCCTATTGTTTAAAACAAATGTCAGTGTGGTCCAGAATGGCAGTCAGGTGTAGTTTTACACATGCTGTCGCCATTGAATAATTCAGTCCACACCGTGACTGAAACACACTAACGTTACTGTAAATATCTGAATCAGGCTGCCAGTGTGTTTCAGTCAGTGAAGCCTTTGCATACATATTGCTAAATAGGCTATCGCTTATAGTGTCAAGCGTACGTAAATAATTGTAACCTATGGCAACACAACTACATGCGAAAAGCGACAACACCTACAAACGCTACCGTTTACCTGTCCGCTACGTTTGTCGTCTTTGAAGCATGGAAACCACCGTACAAGAGCCGAGGGGCGTAAAAATATGAAAACACCGGCTGAGAAACGTATGCCGCATTCAGGTGATCCTCGTAAACTCCTACATCACACATGAAGCGTCTTAAATGACGTTTACATTTGCGTCACATACGATAGCACAAAGTGAGCAAACCTACAGTAAAGGTGTTGTATTATTTGTTGTTTATTTTAGAAATTGAGATGAACGGTTGTGTTACAGCAGCTGCATGAAAATAGTGAAATGTCTTCTTATACAGGCTTAATAAAAACGTCTCGTACTTTGACATGTATAATATGCTCTACTCATAAGGATTCAACTGAGTAACTTCTATATGAACCTATTTCCTCTCTACAAGCCGTGTTTACTTTTGTTTTCGTGTTCGTGTCGACGTTCAGCTCAGAATTACAATAACTCCGACAGCACATGAAGGTAGCACTCCAACAGCATCATCGCAGCCTGACCGCCGCGTTGTTTCATTGCATGACTGCTGTTGGCTCTCATTAAAACTTTCTCTGATTGGCCTGGTGTATGCTACAGTTTAGAGACTGTGGCATACATTTTTATAAAAGGCTCCTGGGCATTTTGCTGAAGATAGTTGAAGCACACGACACTACAGTTTAAGTGGCTGTAGTGTTGTTGACATAATGTTTAACATGAAGGCCATAGACTACATATAGTGTACAGACTCTAGTGAACTGTGAATAAAGATGTGAGCATTATATTATTAACACCACTACTTCAATATCCACCACATCTACTACTACTTATTACTAATTAACAACAGTCATGACTATAATATATTATTATTATTACTATTACTAATGTATTATACAGAAAACAGACTTATGTGGTCTGTAGTGTAGGGATTCAGATGATGTTTCTCACAGGCTAACTGCATAGACATTACGTTTTTGTTCCCCTCAAACACAACTGCATTTACGTTACTAGCCAGGATAGCATTTATTCAACTGTGTAAATAGGTACTGGCCTCAGAAAAGCAACTATAGATTCTTCCTGTTCCTGAAAATCCAATTAAGACACCATCTAAATCAAAAATGAGCCAAAATGAGCTGTATGCTATTATCAACCCACTTTGTTTCCAAACAGATTTTGCTTTTAAGTAGCCAAACACAACTATGGCATTAATGGTATTAAAAAATTAAACACGGCCTCTGTACTACCCAGGGCATTAGGTAACAAGAGTCTAGAGTATAGTGTTTATGTTCACCATCTTAGTTTAGTGTGTTAGCACGCTAACCCTTGCTAATCCGCATTAAACATGAAGTACAGCTTAAGATGATGGGAATGTTATGTATGCAGATGTTTGGTCATAAACCATAGTTTTAAACAAAATGAAAATCAGGGGTCAGGGGATCAAAAATGAGAACAACTGAACCTATGGGGAACATGAATGTTTGTACCATTTCACAGCAATCCATTCAGTTCATCCAAGCAATCTTAAAAGAAAAGTCAAACTAATGGTGGCCACAGAGGAAAGGTCAGGGGATCCCTAAATTCAGTATCGTATATTGTCTGTAAACCATCAATGTTTGTATACGTTCCATGCCAACCAGTCCTGAAGATGCTGAGATACTGGTATTTCACAGGATGAGTGAAAACTTTGACTTGCTGGTGGAACATTAGGTAAAGTAAATGAATCACCAAAGTTCTTAGACTGATCCTCTGGGAACCATGAATATCTGTACAAAAATGAATACTAATCCCTCAAGTAGTTGTGAAAATATTTCATTAATAGCCAAAAATGTAAATTATGTTGTGGCACAGAGAGAAGGTAAGAGAATCACCAAAGTTAGTAGGTTTGATTCACTGGAGACCATGCAAAATTTAATGCAGATCTATTGAGTAATGCTTGAGATATTTCACTCTGAGCCAAAGTGGTGGACCGACCATCTCTAGAGCCACGCCAAAAGCTTTGGTTAAAAATGCAGGATATGCCTTGAGACCAAACCATTTTATTTTAGTTTTTCAAATTACCATACATTATTTGCCAGATAGTAAACCTGGGGCCTTTAGAGCCCCTGAGGGTTCAGGGCCCAGGGGCAGTTGCCGCTTTGCCTGGTTGGCAATCCAGCCTTGGGTAAAGTCTAGCCTATACTAAACAGTTACTGATCTTTCAAGTGGAAAATACCTCACATTTGATTTGATATAGACAGCCCAAGGTATTAACCTAAACCCCACATTAATATTTTTAAAGGTCTAGTGTGTGGGATTTAGTGGCATCTAGCAGTGAAGCTGCAAAAGGGACACCTCTCCCATGTCCCAAGCATTTAGAACGACACTGTTCGATGCAGAAATGTGAAATCAGGATTGGCCCAATTTAGAGCCAGTGTTTAGTTTGTTCGTTCTGGGCTACTGTGGAAAAACATGACTGACTCAGTGGAAAATGACTCATTTCCTGTCCCCCCAGGAAGTGGGAGACTGGAAGTGAGCTAATTTTTGTAGTGGCCAAACAGTGGAATTACAACATAGCTAGTATGCAGTGATATAAGTAATAAATACTAAGTAATTAATGCATCTCATAATAGTTGTAATGGGTTTTGGTCAATGTTGTGACATATTGCACCGTGAGTTAAGTTGTGCATGTGGTTAGTGACATCCTACTTTTGTCGCTGGTAGAAAGTGAAATAAAAAGGTTTCCTACTATTATCTAAAGAGCAGCTTCAAATTCAAAGTTAATTTATTTGCTTCTTTCTTATTAGCAAGACACCCCAGTTCGCTAACATGTAATTATTGGGATATGTACTATTTCTACCTATCCACCTTATTCCTGAGGACACTACTGTAGAAATGATTATGTGCAGATAGCAGAAGTAGCAGTATGTTAGTTAGTCCCATAGTGTCTGTGGTTAGTCCCGGTGGCTACTCTTTGTGGATAACCGCCAATGCTGGTTCTCTTCAAAAGTACTTTACCTTCAGTTTAGCAAATACTAATTTATTTTTTAACAAATATTTAACAAATGTTAACTTAGCATTTTCTAAAATGTCTTTGCGGAGCTGGTACCTGTTGCCCTGTCTGTAACGACTAACAACCAGTCTGAGCTAAGTTTTTGTCTTCAGCAACTGTGTGGTACCATTGATATGAGAAATAAAACCACAACAGTTTCACGAGACTTAGTGAAAATGTATTAAATCAGAATTAGCAGAAGAGAACGTCAGTACATGATATCCCTGCCTTTCCCTGTCTGACTTCATAGTCAACCTACATTAGAAAATTGATCATTATAAAATAAACTCAGCAACATACCTTGAAATATGTATTTAGTCATTAGGGCTGACAATGTGTCACTGATTTACCATACTTCCTTTATATCATATAAAAAAATGAATGTAAAAAGTTATTTCTATTATTACTACTTTATAGGCTATTACCATTACTGAAGTCTGCTGCTAAATTCAGCATCATGTTTTTTCTTCAGAAGAGTTTTTAATAAATCAGTAGTTAAAAAAATGTGTAAACTGCGTTGTTAACGCAGATGAGCGGAGGATTCGCAGAAATCTTAGGAGCAGCTAAGCTAGCTTGGGACATGTTAAAGTTAACAATATTTTAACGGAGTAAGGCAAGCTAATTGCTACAATGCCTGGTTTAATGGAAAAAAGACAACAGTGCTTTGAGATGGCAGTCAGAGATGGCAGAGGTATGGTCACATAATCCTGTTTGAGCCAAAACAGGTGGTGTGTTCCACGTTTCCCAGTTGATCTTGGAATAGAGTACTGTAAACAAATGTTACCATTGGAAAATCGCCGGTTTCAGTTCAACGCCGGAAGTCGCGCACATATTTCGCGTAAGGGATCACGGGGGAGTTGGATGAATGCCCTTAAATCCTACACACTGGACCTTTAAGGGAAATCCTACAGTTGTTGTTTACATTAATGGACACAATGCAGTATTTTAGCCTAGTCATCTATTTATATACTTACTTATTTATCCTACTGATTTAATGACTCAGTTTGGTTGCTGTGTTTGACTGAAACATGGCCTACATCTCCCCCCTGGAGTGATTTCCTCCTGACACACAGCAGCGCGCGCTGAAATAGCAGAGCGCTTCCACTTCCCGTGCTCGTGCCCGCCGGAGACGAACGGTAGAAAATGGCGAGCCCATGTAAACTGCAGCAATGCACTATCGACAGGCGCGGCTTTCGTCAGGAACTTGACTCGTGGCGACACAAACTCATTCACTGTGTAGGTAAGGAAGATGCCAGTTACACGGTGTACTATTTTACCGGTTGAATTCCGCCTCTGTGCGACCGTTATCGATGTAAATAACCCTCTATTACCGGACTCACTCGGGGCATCTCGGAGCTACTTTTTGTTCTTCAACTGTTTCCTTCTCACGGCAGCCTGCCTGAGCAGTTACCTAGATGTGGCAGTTTGTAGCAGTGTCGCACTACTTATGGGGTTTCCTTGCTGTTATTTTTACTGTTTTTAAAGACAAATTACAGAGTTTAGCTATCTAACGTATCAGGCGTAACGTTAGTTTGTTTAAAGGGCACCGTGCTTGTTTTAGAGGGAGTGTCTCTATGCGTTGCGTCGACTATAAAACCCCTTTTGCTAATGCGCGTCCCCGTGTGATGATACTGTATTTTGGATGGGGGAGGGCGACACATCCCCATGGTGGATGTTTTAACATTTAGCTTACTTGCTTTTCTCAAATCACCCCCTGCGAGCGCGCACTGCTGCATTGAGGAAGTGACCCCTTTGGGGGAGTTGCCATTTTCGACGACGTTACATTGATAAACTTCTCTATCGTTAGCTAGTTACTTCCCCTGGCTCATTTTAAGCTAATCATTAAAATGCATTGTTGACGTAATGGGTTGAAAGCACCTTGCATTGTGTATATATCCGTGTTAGGGTGTAGTTGAAGCTAAGCTGTTATTTTTGTAATATAGCTAAAGCAATATCATTAGCATGAGCTAGCAGAATAGGACATAACCTGCAGTAATGAGGGCCAGGACACCTTTAGCTGTGCTAGTGGTATGGCTTTATAATCTGTCTGTAGGTGGGTCCAGACTGAGATATCTTCCCCTAGCCCACCACCAGCAGCTTTACATAATTGGTCCTATAGTGAAATGTAGGTTTCTTGCCACAGAAGGATTGCTATGGCACAAACATTCATTGTTCCCATGTCACACATTCTGCGGGTGGTCCCCTGACTTTTCAAACTAATCATTCTCTTCTTTCATGTGTTTACAAATGATTGGTTTACATTTGTATTTAATGTGTTGATTGTGTGTTAAAGTACTTGGATTAACATGCTTTTGCTCTGGTCTAAGTTTAAAAGACTTTAGTTGAAAAAGCTAGGAAAATTATCGCCCATGACCTGTATTCATAATACGAACGGCTTTCATCAGGTAGACACTGTAGGGTTCCCATTAAACACAGAAGGATACTTAAATATATAGGTGTAACAACTCTTTCATCCTTGTGTCAATGAATGACTGAATGCCCTTTATATCTGCACTTGTATGTGCTATGCCCTTTATGTCTGTTTCTGCACTCTTAATGTATTTTTATGTGGCAGCCTTTGTGTCCAAGACAAATTTCCCTAGTGACAAATAATCTTGAATCTTGAAGCAAAAGAAATTTAAAAATAATTTGACATTGCTGCTTCAGTATAAAACATTTCAGATTTTCTGCCTTTTTTAAATTGAAAACCTTGATTAATAAACATATTCTTCCATGATTATTATGAAGTTCTTTAATCCATCTTCTCATAATTCTGTTCCACTCATATTGACAGATGGCTCAAATTTACATTAGTAGTTTGACACAGTTTGACAGGAGGGCTTGAAGAAGAGAGAGAGAGGCCATTTTTAAATCCGTGCTTTGCCAACCTCCTTCTTTTGACTCGGTAACATAGCAACAGCCTATGTGGACGTTCGGCACCATCATACACGGATTGATAAAGCAAATGAGGAGCAGAGAGTTGCTTGGTGACCCTAATGTTCAAATTAAATCAGCTTCTGTGTTTTTTTACTGGCTTGATCATAGTTCTTATACAGTTCTATCAGTCTCAATGGGAAATATGAAACAAATTATTTCCTACATTGAGTCATTAATGCAGCATGCCTCATTAACGGACAATTTCCATATTACATAGGACTGCCTGCTGTTAGATTGATATAACAGAACTTGCAGACTTTGATCATGAGGATAAAAACATATCCGCCCATAGATAAAATTATCTGACCAGGTCTTTAGTGAGGGTATCTGTGATATATCATGCAATATATTGTACACATTTAATGCCTAAACATGCATATGCAGTATTTTTCCTCGTGAGTTTTGGCAGAATATGAAATGGAATTTAAACCACAGGAGGCAAAAACTAATTCAAAACCCAGAACACTACTTCTGACGCTGCTGATCTCAAAATGTCACATTGAATCAATCTTACTTAAAGTGGCCTCTATGTATAGGTCTTATTGAAATGTGTAATATATGTACAAGGCATGTCCTGTGTGCGTGCACAAAATTCTTGACATGAGTCAAAATAGTAGTTATGTGACATTTCGGGAAAGAATATCAGTAAATCTGACAGTAATGTCATATTAAAGGGACAATCTACCCCAAACTCAAAAATACATATTTTCCCTTTTACCTGTTTATCAATCTAGATTGTTTTGGTATGAGTTGCCGAATGTTTGAGGTATCGGCCGTAGAGATGTCTGCCTTCTCTCAAATATAATGGAACCAAATGGCACTCTGCCTGTGGTTCATTAAGCACCAAAAAGAAAAAAAAGTGAAAAATGCCAAAAGCAATGCCTCCTTCAAGTGACCACAGGTTACTCAAGATATTTCGCAGACCTTGTTATGAGCAGTTTTATGTAGGAACAATTTACTTTCTACTACACCTGCTAACTGCATCGCCACACTTAATGAAGTGTATTACTACCTGCTGATGAGAGACGTATTACAGCATGATATGTAAACATTAATGGCAACCTCTAACCTCTGCACAATCAATTGAAATATTAGCAAAATCACAATATGGCTGATGGCAACATCCAAATTGCAGGAGCTACAATATTTTGATAAAGGTAGATGTGTCACAACAAACCTTTTTTTTTTTTTTTTTTTTTTTTTTAAATTTTTTTTAAAGATTATTTTTTGGGGCTTTTTGCCTTTATTATACAGGACAGTGTGAAATGGGGAGACAGAGAGAGTGGGGGGAAGACATGCAGCAAAGGGTTGCAAGCCAGAGTTGAACTCGCGACCGCTGCAGCGAGGCATCACCTCTATACATGGGCGCCGGCACTATCCACTAAGCTACCGACGCCCCTACAACAAACCTTTAAAGATAAAGCGTTGTGGTGCTACAAAGATACCTTGCTCTACAAATCATATCGTTACGACAAACATAACCCTGGGTACTCAATATTATTACTGATGTGAAACACCCGTCTAGAGCTCCCAGGGCTTGGTTGTACATCTGTTACCAGAGAGTGAGGGTTCAGCTGCCAGGCTAAAGGTAAGAGATGTGGGTCTACCTGTAGCCTGGCTGTCCTGGCACTGATCCGATGGCCGTCACTTGGTTAGCTTGCTCTCCATGGTTTGACACTACTTAGTGTCAGTACTGTTGCATTAACAGGTATTTGGGCTTTGGCTTTATCTGACAGGACAGCCTTAGAGTAAAGGGGGGAGATAGGGGGAAGACATGCCGCAAAGGGCCGTAGGTTGGAATCAAACCTATGACTGTTGAGGCAAGGACATAGTGTTTGTACATGGGGCACCTGCTCTACCAGGTGAGCTCTTGGGCACCCCGAAAGCGGGAATTTCCTGCTGTTACACTGGCTCACAATTTTGTATAAAAGGTACAATCGTGGAATGGGGGGACAGAGGTGTCTCACCTTAAAGCCAACATCAGAGGTAGTAACAACACCGTAATGATGTCTGTATTAAAGGGACAGTTGGCCGGACAGAATCATGGGAGGCATGCGTGTGACGATTTGACAATGTGTTATTCAGCAACACACTGCAGGAGATTAAAAACATAGCTGATAGCAGTTAGCAGATAACTCATAGAAGAAGGACAGCAGCCGAAAATGTCTGCAAATTGGGAAAACAATGCGGTCCAGGAGCTTCTTACCCTCTGGGAAGAGGACAAGATCAGCCGCCATATAACAAGGATTGTAAATTATTGTTATTGCCCTGTTAATTCTATTGTTATAGTTAATAAAGTGCTGCCGACACATCTGTTACATATCACACTAGAGGCTGATGCTGTTGTTGCTATCCTAAATCACACATTGGAGCTGCACGATGCTGCCGTTGTTTGGTTCTGTGTAAAAATGCAGGGGTGGCATAAAAATGGGACTTTATAGCAGCCCTATTGTGCGATCTTTGTGCAAAACAGCTTTAAATACTTCGACATGCCCCCTTTCAACTGAACATGGGCTCTACACCTAGGTAAGCCCAACCCAACTAGCCTGAAGAGCCATGCAGGACAGCCCATAGGACAGTGTGCTGTGACAGTAAAGACCCCAGAAAGAATCACATCATCATCAGCATCAGTGCAAAAACCACCATTCCCAGTGAAACTAAAGGCAGTATGTTTTTTTTTTTGCTGTAACGTTAGCTAGCTCAATGGTTCTAGGTAAGCTAGAAGTACATGTACACTTCCTTTTGCACAGTGATGCTGTTGGTGGGTGTAGTTTGGTAGAAAGAAAATGGTTCCTACACGAAAGTGATCACAACAAGATCTTAATTAACTTGAGTATCCTGGTCATGATTTCATGGTTTTTCAGATGTATTTTTTGGGGACTTTGAGCACTATAAGCTACGTGCCATCTAGTTCCATTATATTCAAGAGAATGCAGACATGTCTGCAGTCAGTATCAACTCACATCAAAATAATCTAGACTGACAAATAGCACTACAGGTAAGAGAGGAAAAATATGTTTTTTTTTTATTTTGGGATGAACTGTCCCATTGTTTTCCCCTCAATTAAGAGTTCTCTGGTGTTGCATGCTAAACATTTTCAGCTCTTGGCTTATATACTGTACGGTAGGTTAGATGCTTATTTCATGATAAGAAAGAGCAAGTGCAGCAAAACATTTTACATAGCTGTCAGCCTCTTGCTCTTGATTGTTAGTCATAGACCAGATTAACCAAACCTTAGGTCCAGAAATTTGTATGATGTTTTTAAGCATCATATTTGAATGCACAACACATAATTTGTAGTAA